ATCTCATATCAACCCAGCTGAATTATTATTTAAAACAAATAGTAATGGACAATACTACTGAGAATGTTGCATTAATATAGTCAGAAAATATTTTTGTTTTTTCTTTCTAAATCATTACAATGAGAAGAAGAAGTGATGGTATTAACTCACAATATTTATACTGTGTATATTAATTAAGCATTTCTGTGCTTTTTTTTTCTTTGCAAGACAAGAGTACCTATCTAGAGACGTTAAATTAGCATTCCTGTTTGTCCATGGTTTAAACATGAGTTGATAGGGAGGCTATTGTCTCTGGAAGAGACAAAAAAACATCCTAATAATCCATCCTAAATCATTAGGATGAAAAGTAAATGCGTGTTCGTCTGAATAATTCAGAAAAGGCTTTCAAAAAATATCTACTGGTCCAAATTCACCCACATAGTTAGTGCTATAAATAAAATGTTTAAAACAACTAAAAGTGTGACAAACAAGGCAGCATGAGTTTATCTTATCGCACACAGTGAATACAAGGAACATGAATAAATCTTCAAAGCTCAATGTTGAAGATGTACTTCAAAGATGGGCATCTTGACATTGCCATATTTTCTCAACAACAATCAGATATGTGATACAGAGGGTTTCATCTATATTTATAGCATGCTGAATAATTGTATTCTGCTTAAAATTTAATTTTCTAATACTTTATTACTGCAACTAAAAACTAGACTTGATTCATATTTTTGCACATCTTTTAAACATGCTTTTGAATTATTCAAAATTATTCTGAATTATTTGGCACAAGTTGAATAATCTCTGTGAAGAGCCTTTTTTTAAAATTCGCCCTAAAACTGCATTATGTGCAATGTTCAATATTGCACATCTGATATCCTTAAAAGCAGCTGAAAACATTAAAGATATAAGAAATAAACTGCAATACAAAGCAGCTACAGTCTGCTGTTGGAAAAAGCTTCACTTCCCATTCAAAGAGCTTCTTCACTCCAGCATTCAAGTGCTTTGGCTCACCTTGACCTGTAGACTTAGCATCCACACCAACAAATCCACTCAGGAAAAACTGCACCAGAGGTAAAGTTATAACTTTGAGGTTGGTGTCTTGAGTGCGAGATTGTTGACAGCCAGGCTGACCTAAGTCTCAACCCTCAAAGATACAACAGCAGCAGATATTTATTATTGAGTTTTCTAATTTTGGTGCTATGTCATTCACTAATTTATAAAGAACCAAAAATATTTTAAAGTCTATTCTCTGAGTTACATGGAATAGACTCAGTCGCCCCAGTTTTCAACTGGGGCGATGTGTCCTGTATTGTGCTAATATTGTCTAATCAAAGCCTAGACTTGACTTTGCATCCTTTCAGTGCAAATCTATGGCATATGAAAGCATCATATAAATAACCCAGTTTCATTAATTTTTCTCAAATGTGCTGCTAACAGTTTTTTGTTGTTTTGAGTACGACCGTGCCGGAGGAGGAGGAGGAAACTAATAAATCTTGCATATATCCCCACATGCATAATCTCAACTGAAATGAGAACAAGAATGTGATTATGTTGCTGCAAATTCACTCGACAAATGGAAACGGTTACACATACAGTAGGGGACGTCTTGTAAACACACAGAGCTGCAGCTCTTTCTCTCTGTAAGACTGCGTGTCAGCAGCGTTCGTCCAGCTGTCTGCAGCATAATAGCACTCGGTGGTGTATGAAAAGGGGATTGATTCTCGCTGCAGAGCGCTGTCATGTCTGTGATTCGTCTCGAGCTAACACAAGAGCCGTTTTGATCACCATCTTCTTTCTGTTTCTGAAGCACAATATGATGGACTTGCTGTTGATTTCATACAGTAGTTTATTATAAATTGAGGAAAGCGCTCCGATGTAAGCGAGAGCCTGGGTGAAGCGCAATGCAGATGAGATATGATGGAGGAGCAGTAAAGGGAACATCAGGATTCAGTGCGAGTTAGTCTGGGATGCGGGGAAGGGAGGGTGAATTCGATGGGGTAACCCCCCCTTTGAAAGGCGAGGGATTCCTTTGCTGCAGTGATCAGCAGCCTCCCTCTCTTTTTCCCTCCAGATCCTCATTCCCCTCTCTTCTATTTCACAAAGCAGAGTCACGTTTCAGAGAGGAGGGACTATGTGCTGCAGGGTACAGTATGAGCAGCACATGGTTAGAAATGTAAGCCCACTCATGACTCGCACCTCTCTACTCCATCCACCATTTATCTTCACACTTTCCTCCTCCTGTCCTTCCTCGCCTCTTTCTTTTCTCCAGCTCATCCGTCCATCGCCTCCACTGAAGGCTGCTTCTTTGTTTCGCCACCGAACGCTCAGCAGTGAGAGATTGATTCCAAGGCTGCTGTGCTGTTGATTGCTGCCTCACTGTTAAATATTTCAGGCTGCGTTTCAGTGACTGCGTGTCTGGGGAAGGGGTGAGGTCCTGCTCAGCCGCTCCCCAACCACAACTGACAAACAGCCCGGCGAACAGACGGGCGGGCACACAAGTGTGCTTCTGCGCCAGCTGCGCTCGCGCACTGCACAGACACCCAGCCGGGCCGCATTTGCGTACGGTTTTCATGTTTCTGTGGCGAGTCAGGGCTGCGTGGGAGGTTTGACTGTGAAATCTTCAAACTGGAGAAGCTAATGAATGAGAAAGGCAGAGCTGGACATTTCTTTGCAGATGGTGCAGTTATTCCAGACTGGCCAAAAGCAATTTCTCAGCATGTCATTCGATCAGCAGCCTAATCACTGTTTGGGCTCCACTTGGTGCCGTGGGATGGCAATGGGTATTCTCATTTACAATACCAACACACAGAGCTGCTGTGGTGTGCTGGCAATTGCTTTCACGAATGTGGAGTTTTCTTTACTCTTTTCAAAAGGGAGAATAAAAACTGGACAGTACTGATGTGTTGAATGAGTGACGGTTTGACAGCAGTTAAACTTTTGTAATGTAAGACTCACCTGTAATTTAGTGACTGATCAGTGCTGGCTGATTCGTATTGTTTCTAAATGAAAATGAACTTGTTTTCTATGCATTATTTGATGTCTGAAAGCACTGTGTCTTTTTTGTTGTTTTGACCATTTCTCATTTTCTGAAAATAAAAACAAAATATTTGTTTGGTTTTTCAGAGACATGTCAGTAGTTCACAGAATAAAATAACAATGTTCATTTTACTCAAACATATACCCATAGAAATTAAAATCAAAGAAACTGATTATTTTTAAGTGGTTTCCTAATTTTTTCTAGAAGTGTATTGTGAAGTGCTTCTTTTTTACTTTTGTGAAAATGCGATATAAATTATAAATGTCTCTAGAAAACTAACTCCATAAATGTTTGAAATCTTAAAAATGAACAAAAACCCTCATATTTCCATGTCTATATATCTTCAAGAAGATTATTAACATTAAAATAATTCTGAATAAAGTTATTTAAAGGAAAAACACTGAAGAAAAATGAGTTTCAATGTAGCAGAGAGGCTACTTTATCTTGCAAACTAACAGTGAGGTCACATTTTACAAAAAAACGGATTTAGAAATCCATTTTTTAGCAATGAAATCATTTTGGATCTTCAAAGTTCTATGCTTCGTAGGACTCAGAGATGTCTGTGTAATTCCCGCCGTGCAGCGAAACAGGAAAGATGCCTTGGAGCGTAAACAGTTTGTGGATTGGCTGCGTGTTTCGGCTTGATGCTGGGTTTACCGGTTATCCCACTGCAGGATCTCTCCCCGACTGCTGTTTGCTGTAAGAGCTCGCACACAAATACGCCGCTCTGCTCCGAGATATTTTTACTCTTTGTGGTCGTAAAGGTGAAGCCCTGAGAGCCCTAAATGTCTGCTGCTGTGGTTCACCTCCACGAGAGACTGCATGTCTTTTGTAAATCTAATATTAAAACACAATTAGCCTGCTGTTGCAGACGCTGTATCACACACTGAGTGAGGTAGAGATGGATATCTGCTTGAAAACATTGCCTTAAAGATGTGCTTTGACTTGCTTAAATGGCAGGTTAACAAACAGTGCTAATCAGAAAGAGCAGTTTGACAGGGAGGTTTTGCTTCCCGGAGGTCTTTTGCTTCTTTGATTTTATTGCGAGACACTTTTGTGCCGTAATTTTTAGAAATTAGGAGTCGTGACAGTCGCATCGTTTCACACCTAACCTTGTGACGAGCTGCTTTTAATTTAAAACATCTGCAGCATCGTTTGTGAGGGAGATCACATCAGGTTGTGCACAAAAAACAACAGGGACTTTCTCACAATCCCCTCCTGTTTTCGTTTTTCTCTCCAATTTGCAACAATAATTCAGAATTCATGACTTGTTATTAAGGCTGCATTTTAGTGGCTTTGCTTTCTGTTTTTTTTTTTTCCAAGTGGTTAATTCTACTGGAGTAATTGCATGAGATGCCAGGAGCTTAGCTGTATTTTATTTTAATTATGCATGACTTTGTACATTATTTGTGTGAAAATGAAGCTGCAGATGTGTCCATTAATCTTCCTCCTTACTTGGGTGGGGCTCGAGTTTGCACAAACTGGATACTGTTTTGTAAAATAAAACCAGAGAGACGGATTGTTAGAGTAATATATTAACTGAATTTATGCAGTTTGGAATTTAATTCAGTCAGTCTAATATATGTATGTACTAGGTATAGAAAAACAGAGTAGAGAAGGGGAAGTATTTTCTGAAGGTTGTTCCTTCTGTCCATCTAATCATTTACTTTTTCATTCTTTCACCCATTCCTCCCAATTTATCCCTCCATCCCAGGGGTCAGAAACCTTTTCCATTCAAAGAGCCATTTTTGACTCCGCTGCTACAAAATAAAACTCATTTCGAGCCACAAAAGAGATTTTTAAATAGCTTAAATATTAAAGCTAACAAATTAAGCTACAGCATGTGAAGTGAAAAGTGGAAAATAAATAGTGGCCACATCGTCCAGCAAAATATTTGGTTACTCACAGGATCAGCGTGACAGATGAGACACCATTGTGTTAAAAATGTTCTGTCTCTCTCTCCTGTCTGCAGGTTTGGAAGAGCGCCCCCTCATGGCCTGGGCAGAGACTGTTTTGTTCCTCCGCTGCTCCACAGGGTAAGCCCTCCTTTGAGCCACATCATGATGTTCCCTTTAAGCCAAAACTCCCAACTAATTTCCTGTCCTTCCCATTCCAAGACAAAAGAGAAGTGGACCAAAGCAAAGTTATGCTATAATCAGACTGCAGAGGCTCATTTGGAGTTAGCAGTCGGTGGATTATTAATGTGAATTTTGCTCTCAGGAATCACCTTGTTGGTTGGCAGAAAGAAAGAAAGAGGTAGCAGCACTGCAGAACAGGAGGATTTGATTTTAAATAGGGCTTAAATAGCTGGGGGATTGGTGCAGAGACAAGCACAAGATTCCCCCCACACTTCAAACGGTGAATCTGTGATGGAAGGATAAAGGAGGACAAAAGGGAATGGGTGCAAGCGAAGAGCAACCCATCTATTCCCCTGCAATAAAGTGAAATGAAATGTCTACGTCTGTTCCTTTGAGCGCCTGTTCAAAAGAGAGAATCCCCCAGAAGGCAGCTGCCAGCTGATGATCCTTCACCTCGGTGTGGAACTGAGCACAGAAAGTGCTGATTCACTGCAGCAGTCTGGACCGTCTCCTCACCGGGCTCTGCCTTGATTCATGGATCTGTCATTGGAGACCATTCAGTATGATAATGGTACAAGCTGCGCTGGCTCTTTATAACCACAGTTTGGTTATGGACCAATAGAGTTGTGTTATAGAGATAATTACTATGCAAGAAGGAGCTTCTGGGGAGCTGTTTGGACAAAATTAACCGTTCTTACAGCAGTGTTTAAAAACGGCATGTGCGGATAAAGCTAACAGCACAAAGAATAAAAGTAATTGAACTTGAAATTAGTGTTTTGGGGCTGTTTGTCTTTTTTGTCTTCCTTTTGGGGTTTTTTGCTGCTGTGAGAATCTGTTGGGAACGACGGCGCTGCGATGCGTACCTCAATGGCATTTTGATCGTCACAAGAGCCTCATCTAGAGATAGAAACAGACCTTTCTGTGGGAATAAAAACCAAGTCCAGTTGGCGTCAAGATCTTGACTGCAACTCTTTCCTTTCATTAGTGAAGGCTTTATTTTTACAAATCAGCAGTACCTCCATGTGGCTTATTTTATGTAGATTCAGCTTTACTAGAAAGTTACATACCAAATGTTTCTGTAGGACCAAATGTAACTGAAATGCAATATTAGCAAAAAGGTTATTTCAGTAATTCAGTTTTCAATACACGTTGCTACACAACCTTTAGATTATTTCCTTTAATTCCATTAAAATCCATAGAGAAAGCCCTTTGTGAACTTTTTTAAATATTTATTTTCTTGATTAGAAATTCAGTGTTTATTGGTCCTAATCTTAAAATTTTCTACTGCTGTTTCTATTTGCTATCAGCCGTAATTACCAAAATGAAAAGAAACGGAGGCTTGAAGCGTTTAATGAATCTCCATTCAAGATTTGCTTGTTTAACTGAGTAACGAAGATAAATTGACTTTTAAATGAGCTTGTAATTTATTGAGATCAGCATGAAAATTACAAATTGCTTTTACATCAATCACTATTATTGATAGTCCGATTCTATTAGAGTCAAAAGTAAATTTCTAGTTCTACTACAAACATGTGACATGCAATTTCCTTTTTATGTTTTAGGCAGATGAGGCATTTTTCTCTCTGGTGCCAAATGCTGCTATGTTTGGTGTAACGCTGTGATCATGCAACTAACAAAAGCAGATCACCAAACCATACTCTAATTATCTTACTGAATATTTTGTTTTGTCTAATTTTTATAATACATATCTTAAAACATTTGCAATAAGACTAATCAACAAAATGTTTGAAGTGAAAGATTTTTTTTCACTTATAACAAGACACTTTTCCCATATTATAAGTAAAAAAAATCTGTCAGTGGAACTAGAAATTTAAAAGAAATCTATATTAAGGAATTATTGACAAAAAACAACCTCCTAAATCTTGCTGAAAAGTTACTTGGAAGTTAGTTTTGCCTTATTTCAAGCAACAAAACTAGAAACTAGACAGAGATTTTGTGCTTTTCCAGGGTGCAGATTGTGTTTAATCGTTTTATATATAAATTAAAATCTCTTTTTTCTAACCTCTAATTAATGTTTTTAATGTTCTTACTGTACTTTAAGTCAATTTTTTAAAATAAACTTTTAGGACTTGGATCAAGCCTGATTCCTAAGGGTCATTTTTTATAGTAAATTCTTTGGTAAATTTTCTCACCGGTCCTATGAGTATATGTGGTGTTTCTCTAACCTGTCTTCCTTGTTACGCTCTCTCAGAGGTGACGGTGGTGTATCAGAATGGTCTGCCTGTGATCTCGGTCAGTTTGCCGTCCAGGCGGGAGCGCTGCCAGTTCACCCTGAAGCCTCTGAGTGACTGCGTGGGCGTTTTCCTGCAGCAGCTGCAGGCGGAGGACAGAGGCATCGACCGTGTGGCCATTTACTCCATGGGTAAGAACCACTGCTGTCAATCAGTTGAGAAATTAATCATTAATCACACCACAACTCTGGGATTAATCAAGAGTACGTAATTACTGTGCTTAACTTTGAAAAGTTGAAATGTAAGAATCTACATTTTTAAAATATTTAAAAAAAATGTTTCATTGTCTCAAACCAAACATCTCAGCTTTCCAGGTTTTCATATCCAGGAAGGTTTGAAAGAAGCCATTTTGTTTCAGACAAAGTCTATAAATGATAACTAGAGATTTTGAAAATAAATTTGCTTAATCGAGATATGGCAATTAAAAAACAACATTGTTTTGGGTCCAAAGTTTTGCCACTATGATGCAGTTTGACCTTATCAAAACTGCTTTATTTTTGCAAAACTGCAATGGAAACTTTTTTTTTGTGGTGGGGGGCATTCCACAAGTCACATGATCAACAACCAGATGTTACTACCATGAAGATAACTACAGGAAGTTGGTTGAGAGTGATGGCATGTTTTTAATGATGTATCATGTGAACAAACTTATTCATGTGTGATCTTAAATGAGATTTTTATTTAATGGAAACACAGAACATTGACAAAGTGTTGTGTATATTTGTAATAGAAACAAAGTTGTTGACACCCCAAGTAAGAACACACTGGATTATGTAAACTGGAGCATCCTATTTATATTGGATTCTTTCAAAACAAAGAGATACATTTATTGTTTATTTGTATTAAAAATTCATATCAGACATCCAAATGCTACATATTTCACTCTCTCAGTCAGACTCAACAGACCTGAGTTTCCAGAGTGGGGAGGCTTACAGAAGCTGTTTCTTTCACTATTTTGTCCTTTTTTTTCTAGAGGGAGCAAGGATCGCCTCCTCCACTGGCATAGACATCCTGCTGATGGACGACTTTAAGCTCGTCATCAATGACAGCGTTCATATTGTGCAACCACCACGGAGAGGTTCGAACCAAGAGAGAGAGAAGGATCGCGTTGAGTCTTTGGATCATGGCTGAACTCGTGTTTATGTATTTGTTTGAGCAGAGATCCTGCCCCATGAGGAGGCCGAGAGGCTAAATGACGTCAAGTTTCTGGTGCAGCAGCTCTACACCACACTGCGCATCGAGGAGCACCAGCTCAGCAAAGAGCGGGAGCTGATTGGACGACTGGAGGACCTCAACTCTCAGCTGCGCCCCCTAGAGAAGGTTCATTAAAAGCTTTTTGACTGTTAGTGTTAGAGAGCCCAGAAAACGCTCCGAGTTATGGAAAGGTCAGTTTTATGCCGTTAATCTATGGAGATGAGGGAGCTGAGTTAAGCTGGGCTTGTTGTCGACTTCCTCATTCATTATAATGAGATAATTAATTTGTGTGACCGAAACAAAACAGCTAATCTCATTATAATTAAGCCTTAATCCGGTACATACATTTCAAAAGAGCAGTTGCATGATGTAATATTTTTCATTGAAACTCCTTAATGGGATTGTTTGAATTATTGCAGTCCTGCCAAAAAAATATTTTTTGATATATATACAAACCTGGAAAAAATAATAAGAGCCAACTGCACTGAACCCCATTAAAAAGCTCATGGTTGTTCCACCAAATATTGATTTCTGAGTTAAAACATCAGTATTGTTGTTTCTAAATAAATATGATTTTTTTTTTTTTTTTTTTGCATTATTTGAGGTCTGAAAGCACTGCATCTGAACATTTCTCATTTTCTGCCAATATTGTACTAAATTTTTGCTCGGAATCTTTGAGACATGTTGTCAGTAGTCGTAGAATAAAAGAATAATGTTTGTTTTACTCAAACATATACCTGTAAACAGTAAAATCAGAGAAACTGATCATTTTAAGTGGACTCTTTATTTTTTCCAGAGTTGCAGCAAAAAAGCAGCAATTTAAAGCAAATAAAGCTGACTCTTTAAGTGTTTCACAAAGCTACGAACTATTGGAACAATCTACTTTATATACAAAGAGAGAAATTAATAAAAATAAGAAAACTGTTAGAGTAAAATGCCTATAATGCAACAATATGATAAATGATTAATTACTAACTAAAATTATTTAGCGGCTTTCAAGTCATAGCAACTACCATAAGTCCTTTACCTTTTGTCACATTCATCAAGCTGCACACACAGTTGCATGTCGGGTCGCGTCTTGTGATTAAGTGCCTTTCCCATGAGTCCATCAAGCCCACAAGTTACAGAGTACAAGATGATTCTGCTCTCCACTGAGAGACAGATGCCCTGTAATTATCACCTAAATGTCAGTAAGAAAGCAGAAATGGACCCTTGAATCCCAGAGACCACTATATATTTTAATAGTTAAAACACCAAATATACCTGAATATACATTAATACACACAATGGAAATCATTTTAGCATCACCACAGATGTTAATGTCTGCAGTTTATCAGCTTTCCAAGCTGCATTTCCTATCAAATATTGTAGGCTCTACAATTTTATAACAATTTTCTGCAATTAGCCAAGACTCCACTGTATATCTCTAAAATATTTTTAAAATGCCTAATTAGTCAGAAATTTAATAAGCTCAGAGTCTCTTGCAGCAGTACATCCTAACAGTATTTTGTCTGTCAGCTTTACCAATCAGTGTGTGTGCAGCTTTTTGTGGTGCTCAGAATTACTTTTTAAGTTGTTTTTTTTTTGTTGTTTCATCACTCATTTGAAGCCTCCAGTCCAACTCGTAAACTGAGTGACTGACCTCTCAGAAAGTCTGGCTGTGCACTTCATGCTGCTCTGTTTGTGCAGGTGAGAGAGGAACTGAGCAAGAAGGCGGCGCGCCGCACCACCTGGGTGCTGTGGGGCGGCATGGCGTACATGGCGACGCAGTTTGGCATCCTGGCCAGGCTGACCTGGTGGGAATACTCCTGGGATATCATGGAGCCCGTCACCTACTTCATCACTTATGGCACTGCGATGGCAATGTATGCCTACTTTGTGCTTACACGCCAGGTAAGACTGGAGATTATAGTAAGAAGGTGAATTAAGCAATGCATCTTAAAGTGACAAAAGTAGTGCACCCAGTTTAGTGAATGATTTGTTGCATCAAATCAGATCTTATCTAATTTATTCAACTTGGCTAATTAAAGCAAACATTTTGAAAGAACATCTTGTTTTCAATGTGTTGATAATACATTTGTTCAATCGAGGCCCCAACATTTTGGAAAGCAGATGCCTTTCTTTAAATTCAGCAGACGTGCAAAGTCTTTTTTTAATTCTAGGATCAACAGTAAATAATAACTTTATTTGCTTGATTTTATTTTAATTTTGGAACACTTTTGACTTGATGATTTTGACCCAGATGACAAAAAGTTTGGACACCCCTGCCATAGAAATCTGTTTTCACTTCTCATAAATTTCCTCGTATTTGTAGCTCCAAGGACACAGAGTCTGTGTGATCCGTCCCAGGGAAGCACAGCGGAGCCTGGAGGACATCTGATAAACTGGTTCTTATTACAAAATACTCCATCTTTGTCTCCCTTTAACCTGCAGGAGTATGTTTATCCTGACGCTAGAGATAGACAGTATCTGCTGTTCTTCCACAAGGGGGTGAAGAGGACACGCTTCGACATCGAGAAGTACAACAAGCTGAAGGATGACATCGCTGAGGTACGGGGATTTAGCCTTTTGCTGAAAATCTTGATCGATTTGTTTTTGCTGTCAAGCAGACTCTGAATTAGACAGAGTTTTATTTTGACTGTAAGCAGATGTAAGGGGTGTAAATATAGGTCCTGCATTTGCAGTGCAAAGTAGTTACAACAGTTACTATGTTATCTGCTAAAGTCTGGAATGAGATTTCTGTATTTCCCAGCCCTTTTAAAGTTGAGAAAAACTTTAATCCCCATTCTGTTGCTTAGGTGTTGTCTTTCCTATTTTGCTTATTTTCTTCCTGCTCTCCTTCCTAGACTCTTTTGGTTTTGCAGGTTTTCTACGGAAACCCTATTGGGTCTTTCATCTCCTAATTTAAATCAGTTGCTACAGCATCAGACACTACAAACATTATATCTCGTGATATAATGTGTTTTCCAATTTATTACATTGAAAATCCCTAAAACCAAGTCTTGTTTGTGCCACACAATATACAAAATCTCATCACTGATTTCATTGCCTGCTTATATCACATACTAAAGGATCTTTTTAAGAAGTTGTGTAACTGTCTTGCTCTTTGTATGTATGTAAATGTTCTCCTCTCTAAATTTTTAAGTGTTTTAGTACTTTCAGGCTTAAAATTGCAAATGAGGAATTGTTCCCAATATTTTTCTTGGTGAAATAAAGGTTTAACTAACTAGTTTTAGATTAATATACTTAATAAATTTTTCAGTTCTGCAATTGGAGTTTTAAATTTCAGAATGGAAATTTACAAATCCAATTTCCAAAGATGATGAAAATTGGATGCTCACAGATTATGTTTTTGCCCGGTTAAATTAATAATTGTCATATATTTTTGTATTTTTCCTCTTCCTCCTCTCTGTCCAGGTGGAGCTGGACCTGAAGCGCCTCAGGGATCCGCTCCAGCTCCAGCTCCCGATTCAGCAGCTGCCCAGCGACAAAAATTGATGGCAAGCGTGACTCCCCTCCTCTCTGATCTCCTGGAATCGACCCTCTTTCTTCCTCTTCCCCCCCTCTGGTGTGTGATAAGCCCCTCTCTACCCCCTCCTATCCTCCTTTCCTTCTTTACCTGTCCCTTTGTTTGTTGTGGAAGGTTTTTTTTTTTTCTTTCCTGGCTAAAATCTATAGTTGGAATTCGAGAATGCCTCAAACTGAAGACTTCTCACAGCTGACGGATGAAGAGGAAGACGAAGATGGTGAAGATTATCAAAGCAAATTGGATTAGCCTCAAACTCTGGAGGGGCAACCTGCCGGTAAACCACAGGGATGAATGTGAATTCACTTGCTTGTAAGCACTCTGAGATAGGGAACATGGCAAGGAGAAGCCTTTGTTGAGTCAGTGTGTGTTGAAGAAGGATCACCAAACGCGACGGTAAACACACGCGCACGTGCGTTTTTCCTCCCGGCCTGTGCAGGCTCCAGAGACAAGTTTACAGGAAGTTCTGACTGCAGTCGCACCATCATGGAGACTCTAGTTTCCCTGCGTCCGAACTCTGCCGCCTCCCCTCCCTCTCCTTTGAGCCGCGCCTCCTCCAGGTGACGGGCAGCTTCCCTTCGTCAGGAGCATCTGTATCTCTGCAGGAAGCAGGAACGCCTTGTTTTCTCTTCCTGTTGATGTCCTGTAAGCGGCTTGGCATCCGCAAGTCAGAGAGTCCTACCGACAACAACATCACTGTGTGTTCTTTTATTCCAAAAGAAAAAAAAAAAAAAGTTAATATTTTGGCACTTTTTATTTTAAAAGCCATAGTATATTTGTTATGACAAAAATATGGGTATATATGTATACAATCAAACAAATGACCAGAGGCTAGTCTTTTTTCCCCCCTTTGCTTTCCAGTGGGTGGAGGAGCTCTCTGACAAACATGAAAAAAAAAGAAGTCATTGGTACCCCTTAAAAAGACTCCACTAACAACAGCATTACACTGTATTCAAGAAATACCTTGTACTAATAGCTTTGTACATTTTCATGACAAGTGCACAATATATATGTGGCGTTCATTTTCAAGAGAAGAGCTCCTGTGCATGGTCTCTGAGAGGGAGGAAGCAACTCTGAAGCCAGATCAGGGTGAATAATGGCTTTAATTACAAAATAAATGTATTTCTCAGCAATGTGAATAATGCTGTGCTTTACCTCTTTAACCAACCATTGCTGCAGAGTGTTGTGCAATATCTCCAATGAAGTTAAAAAAATAAATAAATAAAAACTTGCCCTTATGTTGGAGTATAACCTAATTCGATTCATGCAAAAAAAAATAAAAAATTCATTCTGAGATGATACGGAATAAAGTCAGAGTTTTCTCCTCCCACTGCTGCTGTAATGGCCTCCCCCCCCTGCTCTCAGTGACAAGGCAGGGTAGACTGCATGCTGTGGTATGGCCTCAGTAGAAACTTGTGAACGTGTAGGAGCATAATAGCAATTTTGTACTTAATTGGGCACCTTCTTTTCGTGCATCCTTTTGACGTCCATCAGCATCTCCAGGAAGTTTTGCAACACATTGTTAATTCAAATCATATCTTGATTTTTCTTTAGGCGTGGGCCGGTATGAGATTCTCGCTGCAGAAAAACATCAGACAAATGCTGTGACTTTACTGTGTTGGGCTGAACTTTAAACCAAAAAAAAAAAACATATTGAATGACCTAATCTTGTTGATTTCTGAAAATACTGCACATTTTTGCTACTCTGTTCTGTTTATCATGTTAACAGGGATGCACCAATCATGCTTTTCCTGACAGATGTTGATTTTTATTTATTATATTTGACTTAACACTGACTTTAATCGAAAAGGTTAGTTTTTGATTCAACAAGAAAAATAAGGAGTTACAAGATTATCACCATCTAAGCATATGTGACTATCCTTTTATCAAATATTTTATTAACTCAAAAAGAAATTCCTCCTCGCTGACACACACAAATTTATTACTGCTTTAGGTTTCATAACTATTTCCAGAAAGCCAAATTTGTCTTTTGTTTCAGCCAGCTGAGTGGGGGTGTGCAGCATTGGGTTAGTATACGCTCCATAACAACTGGAAAAGCAAAATATTACTCAAAAAAAAAAAAAAAGAACAATATGACAATTTTATCACCATTGAAATGGTAACTTTTAAAACTCTTGGTACCAGTAGCCGGCCCATGCCTAAAGCTTTTTTGCGAATGTTTACTCCATTAACTCCTTTCAGAGCGGCAGAGTTTCTGTTCAGGGTCCGGTTGTCGGCCCCAGCAGGGCGGCTCGGCATTTTGTTCCCTTCGCCATTTTATCCCTTCATACTTTCAGTCGTTTGGTACCATCCGCCATTGGACGGGGCCCTTTTGGACGTTTCTTACCTGCTCATGTTCTACTGGTTGTCTGACTCCAATAACTGATATCTACCAGCAGATGGCTGATCAGCGTTATCTTGCTTTGATTGGGAGTCAAACTCTGATCTTTTCCATATGAGTCAAATGGTTCAAAATGGGATCAGAACCTAAACGAGGGAAAATATGGTGTAATTAGAAGTTTTCACAAAATATATAACATTATCTGTGAGATTTGACTGTTATATGCGCGTTTATCTCTATAATTTATGTAAATACTTTGTGAAGTGATAAAAAAAATTTTTTTTTTTTGGCATGAAGAAATGGCTTGAGTAACTCTTCATAGGAATATTGGATGCGAATTGACAAAAGTACAAAGTGAGCCCACTAGTGGTCCAACCCCCCCCCCCCCTCCTTTTTTTTTTAATCATGTCATTTTGCTCCAAAGACGAAGCCAGTTGTTTCTGACTTTGAGCTGCTGTCACTCGGCCTGTGCAGTGGGGAGGCGCCGTCCCTCAACATCCTCCTGCATGGAGTTCAGGACCATCCTGAGCTCGAGTCCTGCTGGGGAGCGGATCTTTCATATTAAATTGCATGCTTTGGGCTCCAAATTAGCCTTGCAAATTTAAAGACAGAATAGGGCCTTATCTGGTGCATTGTGTGTGTTGTTTGTGTGTGTTATTGCTTAGAGAAATTGTGCCTTTTGGATAATAAATGACGTAATCTGTATTGAGATCTTAGAGTTAAACGTACAGCAGTGGCAGGCTGAATCAGACAAAGAAAGGCAGAAACGGGTTTGTTTGGGAAGTGGAAATACATTTTAAAATGTTTAAATGGTGCAAAAATGTAAGGTTTCTGCATCTGTGATTCTTTTGTTGCTTGTCAGTACAAGTAAGAGTTGATGTTTTCTGAATATATATCTGTTTTCACACACAATACACTCAGATCCTGAAATAGCGGGCTGTTTGTGGTTTGGTTCCTCCCCTCTGCTGTTTCTCTGTCCGTAATCACTTTCTCTGTTTTTGTATTTTTTTTTTGTTCAAATTGTACCATCCACCGTTTACTGCCTTTTGTTTGTCTTTATTTTTTTCTAAACAAACTATATCAAATATAGGGAAACTTATGCTAAAGAGGGTGTTGCATGAATGTATGTTTACATGGAAACTTATCTAAAAAATAAAAAAAAAGATGATTTATTCAAATACGTGCAAAAATAATTTAAAGAACGTCGTTTGTAGAGATTCCTAGTTGTAAAAAGGGACAGCAGGCGGTGCTGCGTCTTTAAAGTCCAGCCTGCCAGACGTCATCCAAGTCCCAGCCAACCAACTGCTTAAATCCAGTCCATTTTTATCTTGTGTATTCCCAGTATCCTGGTCCTGACTGTGTGTCCTCGTTCTCCAATAAGTAAAAAATCCCAACAACGAAGGCCTGAGAGCCTCTGTGCTAAAGGAGAGACGACAGGTACATGCTTTAAAATCATTTGGGAACACCTCCATCTTTTCTTTTCACCCATCCTCACCTTTGTTTTCTCCAAAGTATCATTATATCTACATTTTTTTGATGTGCGTTAAGCTTCAGATTTTTGTGATTGATTTTTATTTGGACATGTTAAAGATTGAAGCAGAACATAGGATTGAATGGATCATGCATTTCATTCGGACCTATTCTACTCTGTTGTTTTTCTTTGCTTCAGTTGACATGATGCTGTAATGTTGGCAAAACAAAAAATAAAGAATGAAAGACAATGTAAAATCCTGTATCATTTATGAAATATGTATAAAAGAGAAATGTAATTCAATTATCAATAAAATCCTTATCCAGGTTTTGGAGCTGATGGTCCCAGTGAGAGTCTCTGTTTTTATTGTGCAGCTGATGTTTATAGAAATCCATGATTTCCTCTGGTTTTTATTAGCACCTGGTTTTACTGGAAGACATCTGTAAATTGAACACAAGCAAAATTAAGACAGATAAATCCTCGTAATATTTGGTTAACTAAGTTAGCTAATGAACAATAAGTATATTTAATTCATTACATAAACACAAAATTCTATATTTTGGAAAACTTTGAGATGGTCGATGTTGGTAAACCTGCTTCCTGAAGGACAGTGTTTGGATCTCTGTTCAACTCAAACATTTTCCAAAACACACCAGCACCAAGTCCTGCCGTAAATGGGACTATAACAAAGGTTTTGAATTAGCCTAGTCAAAGTATGGACTTAAATCTGATTGATATGCTGTGGCCTGATGTTAAACCTATCTTAATTGAAGCTGCTGGATGTGGCTGGTGGCACAGACAGGGGCAATCATCTTTTGAAACCTCCTTTTATTTGCTCTGGTTACCTTTGGTAATAACATAAATCATCTTTAAAAAAGGTGTGACAAAGAAGCAATAAAGACTAAGAATCAGAAACAAAACATTTGAGCCACATTATGTTGTGTTTACTAACTTCTACTCAAATGTCCATGTGCCTCTTGTGTGTTTTGAAAGCAAAGACTCATTTTAATTCAGTGGTTGAGAACAATGTCCTCAAAATAAAGGTTTATAAATAATTAATTGTGATGTTTCATAACACACATTATTGGATATTTTGTTCCGTTGAGTCAAGAATTGTAATTCTAATAATTTAAAACAATAACTATTTTAACTTGACATTGAGTGAAAGTTTTCTTGCACAACATCACAACAGGAAGTTTTAACAACTCAGTTCAAAATCAGCTTTAGGGTCTCTCACTGAATCAAGTTGATGAAGTTTAATTTTTCAGTTTTGAGTTAATTTTACTTGCATCATTTTCAAATATAACCACTTTCAAATCTTTTGCAGTGTAGTTTTTACAGCACTGCACAATCCATTATGCTAAACCACTCACTCCAATCACAACAGCAAATAAATAAAGATTGTGAGCGAAGGAAGGAGGACAGAGGACTAACAATGGGAGGATGCTCTCGCCTGAGGATTTTGGCCAGTGAAGTTCAAGAGTTCAAGGTGGGAAAGAGGCTTTCCAATGACACAGATAAGAGGCAGCTATTTAAAACAGACATGAGAAGTAAACTTATTTAAGTGAAGAACTCAGATAAAACGATCCACCATGATGCTCTTGGTTATTCTCAATCTTCTGCAGGAGGTTCTTGGACTTGCAGGTGTAGGTGAGTGAATTGTTCCTGTATTTATACACCAATTATTGTTCAGACAGTTAACATGCTGTGAAGAGTTTATATCTTACCAGCTGTGTTTCAGTCATTTCTTCTGCTGCAAAACTTAGATGCACAACCTTTCTAAAGTGGCCAGTGCATGAATATTTGCTACATGTTGATTTGAAACCAGACATTTACAAAAACTCGTTATTTTTCTCTAATGTGAGCAACTTTGTACATAATTTAGTGACATATTTGATTCATTGACATTAACATCCTTACTGACCACTTGTGATATTTCTTTAATATTTCTATATAATACTCTTTTCTCATGATGCCATCTTGTTTTCTGAAGTCCATCAATCAGTTATGCAGCAAAACATCAACACAACATGATGCCACCTACATTTAATTTCAGTTAAGATTCTGATTTCACACTTGCAACCCAATAAACAATTTGTAACAGTCATTTGTGGCCAAATACGTCCAGTTTTGGTTTCATCAAACCTGTTGATTTGCTTCCAAGATCGAGCTCTTTATCCCTCAGCGCAATAAAAAACCTTGTAATCTGGCTTTTTATTTTGAGTTTGATGTAATACCTTCTTTTGTCTTGGCTGAGCAGTGGTGCTCTACTTATCTTACTGTGGATATTGAAACAATATGTTTTGGCTTTAATTCACACATTTTGCACATAAAAACCCAATGGCTTTTCATTCCCATAGTGTTTCTATAAAACGCTCTGAAATGATGAAGGTTGCATTGTAATTAACTACAATGTTGTTAGATTACAAAGCAATGGCGTCGATGTCTGGGTTTTCTCAAACTGTTTAGTAAACTTTGTGAATGTAAAGCAGTAGAACAATCTCTCTCTTTTCTTCCTGATAAATATAAACCGTTTTAGTGATGACTGGTTTAAAGCAGAAAAATTATTGTTTTATTGTCAGACAGTGAGGGGGAAAAGGAATTATTTTATGCTAGTTATGCATTCTTTTAACTTTGTGGGGTTTTTTTACAAAGTAACCATCTCAATATTTCTGATGACACATTTTCCAGTCCTTTCTTTTGAGTGAAATAAACCCAGAGATTATCATCCACATAACAGATGAACATTTCTTTCAGGAATACCAGAACTGAAGTAAATGGTTTTAATACACGTGCTATAAAATCATAGCAATCTTCAGCTTCATAGCATTAATAACTAAACTTAAATGAAAATAAGGTACAAATACATAAATAAGGCAAAAATAAACACTACTCAGACTCATCCAAGCTCAGTTGTTCAGGCCCCATCTGGAAGATTTAACGCTCACATTAGCATTCGTCCTCATGAGTCAGCGTTCAGTCGCTTCTGTGCAGCTGGAGCTGGAGAGCTTCGGGTCAGTCGTATGTCTCCACCAGAGGAAAAAATTGCTGTTATTGTTGGGGGGTATTTTTATTGCCTGGGGCGAAAGATGAGATGAACTGTCTGACAGAAAAAGTTGCATGTTTATTCCATAAAAGGTTGTTTTTATGTTTACTCTTTCTGAAAGGAACAAACATCACAGAATTCACTTTTTCTATCAGAAACTTAAAAATATTAATTGACAAACTTTGCATAGTAGTGAAAGTAATTTGAATTAAATCCAATCACTATTTATTGGTCTGACACTTTTATGTCAGACCAATAAAGTTTGGGCAAAATGAAAGTCATACATAGTACCTTTTTAAAGGTTATCAATTTTCAAAAGCTTCTTTAAATCTGACAAACAAGACTCATCAGGATGTACAGCTGCTCTAATTTATTGAACACTGTAAATACTTAAGATAAAATTGAGTGAGCTGATTGTCGGTGAAGTGTTACCAGCTCACCGGTTTCCTGCCTCCATCTTGTCTCTGAGGATGTTGAGCAGATCAACCTCCTGCTGTTTCTCCATTCAAACCCACTAACAGTCTCACTCTCGCCCGCATTACCCATGCTTGTCATGTCTTCTTTGTTTTGCATCTGCCTCTTAATTACTGCGCTGAGAGGACATGGAGTGGAGAGAAACTATTTACTATTCTTCTGCACTTTGTTTATAGCTTCCACTTTTTTTTTCAGCTAAACAACTGAAAACAAGAGTTCTGTGTTGACAGCTCATTGGCTTTTACCTCTGGCACACATGACCCCGTGTTTCCGTTTATCTTGGTTGGATCCAAACAAGCAGAACAGATCATTTAGAGGGAGTTTTAATGTTTGCTCATGACAAAGCAGATACTCTAAAACCTGTTCTAAACTCCAGGTGCATGCCAATGAATTTAAATGAGACAGAATAGAAAAGAAAAGAACAAGAGGGGAATAAAATGTTACAATTATTTCAGTATTTCAATTCAAACAGTGAAACTCAGATACGGTCATAATTACGTACAAAATGACCAATAAAGAATTTATTAAACATTCATTACTTGTTGCTTTTGCAAAGGATATTTTCCCACTCCACTTTCCATGAAAGCCACTTTCAGTGACTGTTAGCGGTTTTCCCCATAGTCAATCTAAACTGTGTTTTTATTCATCTTATGCAACATTTTGATTTTTTTAATGCAGTTTTTCTGTTTTTTTATTCACTGCTAGCAGTAATTGTCAAATTTAATAAGAATAAACTTTTGAAACTCATCACCCTGTCTATAATGGATCTATATAACACATGAGTTTTACATTTTTAAGTGACTTCCTGAAGTACATGAACAAATATATTCAAATCTATTAAGATTCGAGTGTAATTAATGGATAGAACATCATAGGTAAGAGTCTAATCTAGTTTTACATTAAGCTAAATTAAAGTGACAAATTTTCTCACTAATACAGATTTGATTTCCAAAATGTCGGTCTCCATCTAACTGCAATGGAGGTGAATTAAAGTATGGCTGCGGCCTCCAGAACTCACAGCACTGGAAAATTGCCTTTGGAAAGTGTTAAAGAGCCAAGCTGAGGGAAGGATCATAAGGATCAACCAAGAGTGAAAGCTAATGGGTGTAAGAAGTGGGCAGCATGAGTCTGTTTTTGAGTTTCTGGGAGTCAGATTCTGCCTCTCTGATGGAAGGTGGTGAAAAATGAGCCTGAGCCTCCAGAAGCCCTGACTGTACTCAAACCGGGTTGGCTGCTCTGCATTAAGTTAATGCAGAAACCTCAAGGACAGTCCAAAACTCAGAGAATGCAAATATGGTAGCTTTGATACTATATGGAATAGGGAGCATCACAGAAAACAAATATTTTGATAAATGTATTTATAAATCAATCTCTACAGGGTTCTCACAGTGTGGATTGAGAATCCACCACATCAGAGCTGTCTTTAAAGTTCAGGTCAACAGTAAGGGACAAGCACCATGTACCTGCCCCGATATAAAGACATGAACAGGCCTGAAATGAATCCATAATGTAGATATACCATAAATAGATTTAAAAAATATACTATTGAGAAAGACAAGAACCCCATATTACAGTCATTTTTTCAACAAATCACAACTGTGTTTTGAAAATTTGCAATTAGTGTGAAATGATTTTGCTCATATTGTGCTTCTCACAAATGGTCCTAACAAAAAAGGTGACAATATACTGCCACAAATCTATGATTGTATTTTAAATCAAGTCTGTCCAGTGAAGAATAATAAAGTTTGGATTTTGACCAGTTAATGTATTTCAAGAACAGATAATTAGATGCAGTTGAATTTAAAAAGCTTCAAATCTGATACCAACATCAGAGTAATTTGCCAACTTCGCTCATTTTCTAATTTTTCCGTGTTTCTTCCACATTTTGCACATTTTTGTTCTTCTGTTTTAGGTTTCTGCTGCTTCTAACATCAGCCCAAAAAAAATAAACACCCTCTGGTTTTTACGTTAAGTTAATGTTTTTTTTGGTGCCTGGAAAATGAGCCATTTCAAAAACCTTCTGAATATAACGTGACAAGTCAGCAGGCATGGCTCCTCACCTAGAAACCCAATAAAACACCAACTAGGTAACAACCTAGCAACCCCAGCAGAGTTCTACTCGCTACCTAGCAAGCAAAGCTAGGTATTTGGTCAGCTGGTTTTACAGCTATATGGGCTGAACATGTTTTGTATAACCCATACAAAACATCCTAGCCTGCTCTGGGGATTGTAAAAGCTCATCTTTGATATTTTATCTTGAGACACATGTTGCTTTAGACAGTAATATTTCAGACTGTGATTAAGTCTTTCAAAGTTTCTGCTCACTCTTGGTGTGTTTCTGCTGTTGCAAACCCTCTCTTCTCAGCTCTTGACCCCTGCTCTGCCTACATCAGCTTGAACGAACCCTGGAGGAACTCGGACTTCCATGTCAACCGGTCGTCCAGCATGCCCCTGTGTGACAGCCACATGTCTGGGGAGTGGTACCGCTTCACTGGCATGGCCGGGGACGCGATGCCTACCTTCTGTATCTCTGAGAACCACTGCGGCACCCACGCCCCCGTCTGGCTCAACGGCACCCACCCGCAGCTCCATGAGGGGATTGTGACGCTGCCAGTCTGCGCCAGCTTCAAGGACAACTGCTGCCAGTGGAATGCCAGCGTTGATGTGAAGGCCTGTCCTGGAGGATACTTTGTCTACCGCCTGCCGAGGCCTTCTGTCTGCTTCCATGTTTACTGTGGCCGTAAGAGAACATCTCAGATGTTGTTCGGATTCCTTACAGATACAATGTATCTTTTACAAAAAGTTTTTTCTTTTAACATGTTTAACAGTTTGACATGTTAAGCATGTAAAAGTTTCTCTACCTCCTCCCTGAGTTACTATTGCCGGTTCAAGAAATGTGTCGCTCCTGGTTAAAAACAAGAGCTGGAATAAGGGCTTAGCATGCTTGTGTATATGCTGCTCAAAGTGAAACGTCTTCCAGTTACAGGAAAACTGTTTATTTTCTGTCATCATTAGCCATAATAACTAGCTTGAGCATTCATGGCAGATTAGCTATCTGAAGGAGCTGGAGCATAGCAGAGAGCAGAGAGTGTGAGCAGTGCTACACAAGAATGATTGACAGCGCTAAGACCCTCCTTCTGGCTCTGATTGGTTGGTTCTGTAAATAGCAATGGGAGTACTGGGTAGGATAAGGCAAAGGAGTTCGATTTTTTTCACAATTGATCTGTCTCATATTTCCATAACAGAGTGACAGTTTAACAAATATCTAAATAACTTTTTTCCCCGCTTGTTTAGGAGGCATTTTCATTTTGGCTGATCTTATTTTTCTGTATTTTGTGCAGATTTCTATGATATCTGTGATGAGGTGGACTGCAAAGGTCCCAGATGTCCAGAGCCTGAGTGCCGCTGTGCACCGGGAACTGTCCTAGGACCAGACGGGCAGACGTGCTTGGGTGAGACAGGCGGGGGGAGAAGAGATAAACTGTGCAGAAGGCAGCGATAAAGCAGGGAACACTGACAACAGATGAACAGGAAACGTTTGAGGAAAAACAATAACAAGTCAATCAATCATATTGAATCTAGTTGAGCTCCCACTTGTTTTGACAAACCTCCTCTATGTTTTTGAACGAGCTGCTTGTTTCTCTGTGTTGACTATACTTAATGGTCATCTCAAGTGGGCAATTTCTCTCTTCACTGGAAAAGTAGAGTAAATAGAATAAGATAAATGAGAAAATAAAAACTGGTTTCAGAAAACGTTGGTGAGTCTTTTTAATCCATCATTCCTGCAAAAAAGAAACTTCTACTTTTATTTATTTTTAAAGTGCTGCCAAAACATTTTAGTTTGTTTCATTTTACTTTCATCCCTGAACAGAAAAGTATAAGTATTACGTTATGAACTGCAGTTATGGTCAGATGTTCAAAAGCACTCATCATACGAATGAATGGCATATTGATTTTGAGCTTTTAATGTTTTATTAAAACTGTTTTTTACCCACACAGTAATAACAAAGTAACAACTTTTATGATTCTTAAAAACAGACATTTTTGTGAAAGTTTGAAACCACAGGGAGTTTCTGTAAAACACAAGCAAGCTAAGATTAAACATGCAGTCTAAAATACTTACACCCCTAATGTTCATTATCAATTTGGATTATGATGAGGCATTATTGATGTGTTCTCATGCTTTATCCCTGCAAAACTTCTGCTTATTGTTTAAGTTAAAGTGGGTTCACTGCTGTTCCAGATTATGATTTCAGATCATAAATTATAATTTTGGAATATCTTAAACAAGCTGAGATGAAATTACTGGAATAACCCAAGACAACCCTGCAAAAGTAAAACTATTTAAAACAGCTCAACTAATACTGATAAGAAAATTTGCCAAATGTTGAACCAGAATTATGCCAGAATCTTAGCTTCAAAGTAAATGGTGTATGTATTTATTTCACATAATATTTACTTCAAAACTGACAGCATTATAATACAAGAAAACACATGCAGTACCTTCTATTTTCTTATATCCTGTTTTCATTTAGCATAGTAAAAGGACAGGGAAGTAAAGGGTTTTTAAGGATTTTTAAAATGCATTACCAGAAATGCAAATCAAAAATTAGCATTTTTAAAAGTGCTAAAACTTTGCTAAGAGTAACCCAAAATAACAATGTTTGAAAAGTATTTACGTTTTCTAATTCTCTTGGTTGTTCTCAGTGAATACCTGGGATTAAAAGCTATACCAATCCAGTCTGTTTACATAATAAAAACTGACAACTTTTCCGACGCATCCATTTAAAAGTTTGAATAAGGTCAGTCTCTATTAAAAATGATGAATGAGTGTAATGCCCTCTGATGTCATGCAGAAGGTTTATGCATCTGTCCAATGTGTGGGAGCCCATAAACCTAAACTGCCATTATCTCATCAGTCACTGATAAACCCAATCAGGCATTCTGGAAATGACTTTCTCCATGCTCACTCTGTCCACTCTTTCCTGCACTCCCACAGTACTCTTCACTCTCATTTCATCCGTCATTATTTCCTCACCGGGCTCCTCTCAGCGTTATAAGCTCCATTTTAGAGCCCATCTATCATCATCTATAAAAAATGAAAATGTATTGCCTGGAGGTGATAAACTCCACCCATCTGCGGCTTGGTGGATTAAAACAAGACTCATCTGACGATAGTATCTGACTGTAGGCTCTGCGTCTCCTGTGTTCAGATGTGAATGAGTGTGATAAAGAGAATGGTGGCTGTGCCGAGGCGTGCGTCAACACCAAGGGCTCGTGGCGTTGTGAGTGTGGACGAGGACGCGTGCTGGATGAGGACGGACGCAACTGCAGAGGTGTATGACAGTCCAAACTGAGATAATGAAACAGGAACCAGCTTTGCATTCTCACTACTTTCCCTGTTCCTTGTCGTCTGTAGAGATCGCAGGTTGTCAAGTCAACAATGGGGGATGCAGCCACGTCTGCACCCAGATGCGAAACTCCTATCAGTGCAGCTGTCCCCGAGGGCTGGAGCTGGGAGAAGATAAAAGCACATGCCAGGGTGGGTATCTGTGTGTGAAGCAGGTAGATGTTTTACATAAAGAGTGGACACATGATTTTATTTATCTCCAGGGGTCTAACAAATAAAAAGCATTTCCAATGGCAATAACAGTTACATTCAATCTGTGATTGTTTTTATAACAGCTCGTCTTTAAGAACTTTACCATTTTAAAGAAAATATTACAACAGCCACATTAAGCTTTTTGTTTCTGGACAAGTTCCTAATACGTTTGAGGAAAGGGCCCAATAAGTCCTATGAATACTGTAAAGTATCGCATGTCATGTCATAATGCAGTCCAGCATGTAAAATTACCCAGTAACTTCACCAGTAAGTTCTCTAAAATGTAAAAAACAAACAAACAAACAAAAAAAAGTACATGGAAAGTTTGAGGTGAATGACCAAGAAAGTTCAAAGTACAAACCATTTTGTCTCTGGGAAAATAATGCTTTGAGTACATGAAAAAGTTTGATAAGTTTTAGGAAATAACTTACATTAGAAGCTCCAGGAAAGGAACTGGTAAGAAAAGTGGGTAGAGTAGCCCAAAAATATTCAAGTAGAAATATTTTACAGTGATTTCATCAGACAAAAATACAAAATTCTGTGAAATTATGGTAATTTGAAGACTAAAATGACAATACTATACAAATAACTATTTATAAGGTAAAAGAAATAAGGAGACAAGTAATTTTTCACAATATTAAACTGATGTAGTACTTACAGTATATAAATATAGATATATAGTGTAAAGTACTTCCAGTGACAATATGTGATGTTTACTATACATGTACTTGTCCTCCAAATAGCACAGCAGGTTCAGCAGATTGAAAATAACACCAGAATAAAGCTTGTATATGAACAAGAGGTCTCACTGTGACATAAATTGTAGGTGTGTTGGTATTTGATGCATTGTTAGCTAAAATGTCTCTGTTCTTCTTACAGTAAAGTTATCCAGGAGTTTTACTCAAGCAATGCTTCATAATAATATTAATCAAGTAAAAGTAAGAGTAAATTGTTGTAAAACTTCTCCTCGACGTATCATTCTCCAAAAAGTTACTCAAGTAAATGTGACGAGTTGCTGTCAACCTCTGATGGAGAGTTCCAGAGAAGTAACAGTAAATTGCAGGACACTACTAGGAATTTACCTGGTGAGATCTGGAACGTCAATCAGTCGGTTCCTGGTACCTTTGAGCAAAGTACCTGGTATGTACAGGAAGAGTGCCTGCTACGTTTAGGGTAAGTTTCAGAAATTACACAGGGAAAGTTCCAGAAAACTATCTCTTAGTTTTGGGAAAGTATAGATTATAGTGTGGTGAAAAGTGAGAGAATACGATTCCTCTCTTTCTCACCCAGTGCCAGTCCGGTGTGATCCCAGCTTGATTGCGGTGTCAGTTCCTAAAGACCTTGTTGGAGGTCTGGAGCTTTCGCTGTCAAACTCTTCCTGCCAAGGAGTCTCCAATGGCACCCACATCAACCTGAGCTTCAGCCTCAAAACCTGTGGCACAGTAGTGAAGGTCAGCTACTTTGCTTTACACTCTGAGAGTAAACAGGGTCAAAAGGTGAAAGATGAAGGCTAAAAGAAACGTTTTCTCCCAGGTGACAGAAAGCAAGATAGTTGGGACCAACCTGGTGACGGGTCTGCCCAAGAGCATCCCCGGCAGCAGCAGGGACTTAATAGTCCGAACTGGCAAGTTATTGCTCCCAGTGACATGTGAGTTCCCCAGGGAGTACCAGGTGTCGGATGGGTACCAGGCAAATCTGCAGGGCTCGGCCTTGGAGCTGGAGAGCCACAGCCAGGGCATCTTTGGGTTTAACTTGGAGCTGTTCAAGAATGCAGAGTTCTCTGAGCCCTACCGCAGCCCGCCGCAGCTCCACCTCCACGACTTGCTGTTCTTTGGGGTGGAACCAAAGGAGAGAGTGGAGGGCCTCTCGGTCCTGGTGGAGAGCTGTTTCGCTACTCCAGGACCCAAAGCCGACCAGGCCCTGAAGTATTACCTCATCAAAGATGGGTGAATATTCAATCTATTTATTATTAATTTAGCCTGAAACAGTTATAGACTTAAACTACGTGTTTCATCCGTATGTATTGGTTTGTTGTACATGATTTTTTCCAAAAGAATTACTTCACAGAAAAAAAAAAATCTTTATATTCTATATTTATTAATTCACAAGGTTTAGTTAACAATATTATATCAAAGAAACCAAATTTATGTCATTCAACTTGAATTAGTGATACCTCAGACAGTAACTTAATTGCAAATCGAAACACAAGTTGTTTTAATATTACTGCAAGAAAAGAACAAAGAAAAAAATGCACTTCAAAAATGAAATTTTGCAACCCTTCTTAATCAAAAAAATCATTTTGAGAGTAATGTATATTGTTTGAGCAATGTTTCAAACTGCATTAATTCAGTTCACTATTTTTTCAGATTTTATTTTCTTCAAATTAGTTTTTCAGATTTTTTTTATATTTTACTTATTCAGATTTTAATTCAATCTGAAAAGATTATTTGAAAAAAAAAAGAAAAATAATTTGAAAAAATAAAATCTGTGAAAACAGGAAATAGAAAATTTGCTGTTTATGAAGGAGAACATACTGAAAACAGCTGATTTGGGTTCTGATCAAAAATATTGTTAACATTTAGTCTTGCAAGAGTCGCAGAATCGGCTGTAGCTTCACCAAGACGTCACTGGATGCCTGACAGCTGCAGGACAAAAAATCCAAACTTCTTCAAAGTGATGTCAAATGAAAGGCACCCACCGCCACAGACTGGCGAATGTGGAGTGAAAACATGAAAGCTGGAACTAGAAAAATTTAAAGTCCTATTTAAGTGTGAATTCTCCTTTTGATGCTGTACTGGCACCAGCAGGACAGCTGCAAAATTCAATTAGATTTAATGTTTATTTAAAATGCAAATAATTTATTGGCACCCTATGTATGTGCAAAAAGCCTAAAAAATATATAGTTTTGTGTGTGTTTTTGGAGCATCATCCTCTTACACTGAGTTTATAGTTGGAGAAATGCAGCAAAGAGCATCTTGGAATGAACAAGTCTCAGTAACAAAGTGTGTTCTGTCTCACCATCACAAATTTAAATGTTTGTTGCTTCCTAAACTCTAATGGGAGTGTAATTGCATCTCTGTGTTTGGGTCATCTGAGAAAAAGTTTGAGCTTTTCAGCAACAAACACACCTGTGTGGATTTGGAGTGAAATATAAATATGTGTGAAAGTACCACATGAGGAAGGATCTGTGATTCTGGAGGCTTTTTTTTCTTCCAAAGGCTGTATCTTAAATTATTATGAAAATCTAGTGCCGTCTAGCAGAAAGTTAAAAATGGGCTGTAGTTGGGTTCTTCGATGGGATAATAAAACATGTCATAAATGTACAATCACAGAAGATGTTAACCAGATTCTGTTAGGGTCTTGAGTTGTTTTGACTTGCATTGGGGTTTGATTTACTCCTAAAATATTCCATTCATTCCAAGACTAAAAGTCCAGAAAAAAAAAAGAATCTGGTTTCATTGTTTTTCTGTGTTCTTTAGTGTCTTTCTTTGATTAGATCATCCTTGTGTCTGTCTTAAGTTCCTTCAGTCTTTCTTAGTGATTCTGGTTTACCATGTTTAATTCTTTTGTCTGGTAATGTGGTTTGATCAGATTTATTATGTTTAGTCATTCTTCAGTGCTACGTTTATTTTTCTGGTTGTCCCTTGGCCCCTGTGCATGCCTTTGTCTCTCTGTCTTTCCCTCCGCACCTGCAACCTGTAAGTAATCAACCTAGTTCATTGTTCCAACATTCACACTCCCAGTATTTATTAATTTCTCTCTCATTCCTTTTCACTTGATCCTCTGGCTATTTTCCCTGTTTCTTTCAGGAAATTCTTTGTTCATTTGCTATCTATGGGTTTCTCTAAATTAGGACAGCTGATGCTGACGAACTGCCTTTAAAAACACATATGGATGAGCAGGTGCTGTGGCCAAACATCCACTGTTTTTCTCACTCAGATGCATCTCAGATGAAACAGTGACACAGCATTCATCAAAGGACCAGCTCTCCAAGCATTACCATGTCCCTGTCTTCAAGTTCATTGGCAAGGACAGCCAAGTAAGTAAATCTAGCATGCTGGGAGCCAGCTGGTGAATGTGTGAGTTGCCCTGTACTGTAGAAACAGACTGCAATGAATCACCGGTATAAGGTGCCATTTGCCTCAAAAACAATATGGTTTCCTGTTTCTGCAGCAAGTGTTCCTCCACTGTCGGGTGTTGGTGTGTGGGCCAGGAGACACCCGCTGCGCCCAGCACTGCCGTGGACGTGCACGACGGGAGATTCGGATTAGAAACGATCAGCAAAAGCAAACATTGAACAGAGGACCTATTTACATCCTGCCTTAGGCGAGTGTCTCTAAAACAACCAGTAGCAAATATGCCAGCACATCAATTACTCTTGCAATTGAGGTGACCCTTTCAGTTTATTTGGTAGTTAAAGCACCAAATAGATGCAGATATACAGTCCATTGCACTGTCCCTTTAAAGCAATATACACATAAATACACATATTCTTCCAAGCGTCAGAGTCTCACAGTTGTATTTCTGACGTTATAATGATTGACAATCCCATTACAAACCTGATGGCTGGGCCCACAGCACAGCAGATGTTTATCAGGATGCCATTGTAAGGACATTTTCTCTGGATTGATTGCAGCTTCGAGACTCAGACTAGTTTAAATTTCATACCATCATTAACTTGGAAAACAACACACGGTCCTTCTGCTGATCCATTTTAACTCATTTGCTGAGCTTAATCAAAGCACTGGATGTACGTTAGACATTATGAGGGCCAGCAGAGAAATGTGTCGGTAATGATGCACATGGCTCATTACTCTGGAAGCTAACCGACGGGTAATGTCATTTAAGTTCAAATTAGACGGAAAGTAAAAAATTACTTGCATAAACTATGTGCTGTAGTTGGCATTCGACTTGGCATTGAAGATCTCTGACAAATTTTAGACGGCAGCACGGACATTGTGCCGCTTGCACTCCTATTATTACCTTGAAATTTCAATGGAGAAGACATTAATCCCACCAAAATATTTTTCTCATCTTCATATCAGGTGTTTCGTTTGGAGTCATCAAGTAATTTATGGTAATGGAGTCATAGAAACCCAAATTTGACCTACAATGAGGAGGTAAATATGCATAAGCAATTAATTCAGACGCTAAAGGCCATCTTCAGACTGACAATATCTGTTTGGACCCTGTATTAATAAATCTTCTGAATCACTGAATTCCCCATTTACATCTTTTTAATTTCCTCATTTCTGAATCTTAAAGAGATAGTTCAGATTTTTTCATGATTCTCTCATAAGCAGTTAATATCTTGCCTACTTAACTCTCATTGCTGCCTGTGAAAGTTTGAACAGCAGTATATCTCACTGATAGAAGCATTTTTGGTCTAAATTGTTCAGCTAAAATAATAGCAGCCTGGTAGCTAGCCGTTAGCATTCTATGTCTCTGAGGCTTTAACTCAACTTTCAAAAACGGGAACTATTAAGAGTTTCATCAAATAGTCTTCAGCTTTGGAGACTGAAATTGTTTCATGAGATAATTTTTTCTGGTTTGGTCTTGGCTGTTTTCAGGCTAGCTGTTAGCATCATTTAATCTGAATTTATGTAAAATTCAGATTAGACGCCCAAAGCTATTAACTGCTCATAGCCTCTCAGCTGAACTCCACTTCATATATTCTGAACTACTCCTTTAAGAGGACTCTCTTGAGAAGTGTCTTCTCTTCTTGTAATATGTGGAAATGTCCATGACTCTGTCATCTTTGAAATATACAGAGGAGTGGACCACAGTGTTCTGTGTTACAGTTCATCTCTCTCTTCTCCCTCGCAAATACACGATGCCCTCTGGCTGTTCATGTAAGGCCTGCAGCCCAGAGTCCACACTGTGTTGTAGAGGGCATCTGCCATTGTTTCACAAGCTGATGGAAGGAAAATACATGAATGATTTTTCTAACTCCTTCCTGGTTATTAAAACAACCTGGTGGTTATTCTAATAAACAAAACCAAAAATCTCACCTTGCACTTTGGACACAAACCCCAGACTCTTCTTCAGGTCAGAGCAGATGTCATGGAGGCACGAGCGAAACTTGGCATCACAGTCATACTTGATCACACCGCAAGTGTCGTAGCACACATCCAGCTGGTTGCAGCACCTCGTCATAGCAGGGATTCCCATGTCAAGCTGGTGTAAAAGAGAGCTATATGTCAACTTGGTTCACCAATGCACTGTTTGGTTACCAGAGGTCGCACTTGAGTTTTTTGTTGACTAATGGTGTCAAGAAAACCCTGTTATATTTATTTTTTCCCCATCAATTTATAAAATGGTTAAATTTCATTTTCATTCTCCTTAATGTTTAACAAACTGAACAGGTAATCCACGTTGTGACACAATCAAGATGAATACATTTAACTTTTTCTCTGACAAAGTTTTGACATAGGGTAACATTTCACTTTTTGAAATGATCAGAAGTCGGCAAGACTTTCTGAGTGTCACCTAATCCTGGAAGCATGAGAATTATGCTCAGAAATGCTCATGTTTTCTCTAAAAAATTCTGAGATTATCTAAAACATGTAACTTTTTCTCCAGTTTTTGTTAAACAAGTGTCTCTAATCTCTCAAAATGAGAGATTTTTCTCTTCCTTTTTACAAGAAAACCCTGTTGGAGGTAAAAAATACTCAGATAATTGTTGGTGCTGATGGTGCTATGAGCAGGCCACCTACAGCAGCATTCACCTGGAAGCCCACCAGAGACGAGCTGCATCCGTTGGGTTCTTGATGCTTGTAGCCGGGCCGAGGAAGTGGGAGCGCTCCTGTGGAAGCAAAAGAATGAACACAGATGTTCTGTGAAGGCTGCAGATGTTTGTTACAGATCTCTGTCAGGTGTCATGCAACATATGTTTGAGAACATCTGCAGCTGATCTTGAGTAGAGATGATTCATCAAGACCTCAGAGATTTGTTAGACAACATTAGCGATCAAACACACACCCCAATCACAGAGCTACTGTAAATCTCTGCTGTCAGATGTGATGCAACTTCTGTGTACTGGTTGCATAACAGAAAGGACCCACGCCTATCAACAAATCCTTTTTAAATCAGGACAAAACATTTTGACTATGTATGATCAAAATAAACCATACCCACAGTTTTCGGGGAATACTTAAATCTGTGGTGCTTTTGCTGAACACTCTTTGTTCAATGAAAAACATCGGCAACAGCTCTGATGGCAGTGAAAGTGCAAGATTCATCTTTACCGTATCGGCAGCGGTACTGACAGACACCGTTGTGTCCCCCAACCAGCTCCACTAGGGAGTCGAAGTATCCGTGCACCGTCTGGAAACTGTCCCTGATGGAGTTGAGGCTCCAGCTGCTTGCTTCTTCTTGTGCCAGGAGTTTATTGGAGGCTTTGTTTGTCTGGACTGGCCTGATCTCATTGACCTCCTCTTCTGGTGGAGGTTGGTCCCGACTAACTGCTTTCTCTGCAAACCCTTCCACAGCGGCAGAGTCTTCATCGTGCTTATCCTTGTCTGTTTCTGGCTCTTTGACTTGGCCTTCAGGTAGGTCTACTGCTGAGTTATCTGCTCCAAATATTTTGTCATCAAAAGCATTATCTAGAGGGGCAGCTTGAGTAACAACAGCGGCAACTTCCCCATCCTCCAAGGCTTCAGTCTGGAAGTACCCCAAGGTGGCGCAAATTCCTGTGGACACACAGAGGAGGAACAGGGCCGCAGTCCGGAGCAACATGTTCATCAGCAGGCTACAGTCCAAGCAGTTTTCAATCAGGTTTCAAAAGAAGCAAGAGCCCAGGCGGTGAGGGACATCACAAAGCTTAGTTCTCACTGACTGTTAGCCTGAGTGCAGACTTTGACCTTTGATTTGGTTCTTGTCGACAGCAAGGCACTCTGTCATATCAGGGGTAAAGGTCCGAGCATATCAGCACATAGAAAGTTTACTTAAATTCAGCTAATTCTTTCATTTTTCATCATTCTTAAACACATCTTTGATCACTTTTATTGCAGTTTTTAGTCACAAAGTGTTAAGTAGATTTTTACCATTCGAGTCACATGGAAACTAGAGGAAAATGGTCTTTGTATTTCTTTTAACATCCCCACACCCCCTGTGACCTTTCTCAAGACATCACAAACCTCAAACTCTCCTTACTGGTTTTGATAAAGGTCACAGTCTGACAACACAGCACAAAACATAAACAGAAGCAAGCATAAAATTATAGTTTCCATTTGGAAAACGGGAAGTATGTTGATTTTATCTTTGCAAGAGCAGCTTTAAGTTTAAGTAATAAAGAACCAAAACAAACAGAAGTGAAATAAAGCTAGAAACTAATAAACAGAACTGGAGCAAAGCCACTGAATGTATTAGACGACTGCTCAAATCTGTCCAGTTTTGGACTTTTATGACGCTCCTCTGCTGCCCTCTTGTGTTTGTGAAGAAAATCAAACTCCTGCAACGAGGTGCAGCTGTCAGTTCACACATTTCCATGCAAATTATATATCGGTAATAACGCGCCAGCATTCAAGTTTGTTAACTTTATGTTTTTATTGTGTAATTTGCTGATAACACTTACAGACGTGTCTGCTTCGGCTATTCAAATAACATGGAAAGTGCCAAATGTCTAACACTAAAATGTATGTGAAGAACATTAAAGTATGATATAAAAGCAGAAACCGCACTGTAGTCACATCCCTGGGATATTTCCACATTTTTTGACATATCTTAAAATAGATTTAATGTATTTTACTTTAATTTCCCATGATGCACCAGCACTAAGAAGTGGAAGACAAAGGATGGGTTTATTGTTTTGTTCTGTTACTGATATTTTGGATCCTGCATATACTGTGACTGTAAGATGCTGATGACTGAAACTATTCGCTGTCTATTTGGAGATCCTTTTCGATTTCTTTCCACAGCATCCTGGGAGGAAACACAAGGAAGAAGATGATTATAAAGAAAAGCAACAAACCAGTAACATGACATACGTATGTAATATACCACATACCGTTTGACAACCTCTATTGGCTTCTCTCTGTCCAACACCGAAGTGATTTTTGTCTGTAGATCCTTAAAATAAAGGGACATGTCACAGAGTGAAACACTCTGCTGTGTCTAATTATACTTAAATGTATTGTCAGAGAAAAGTAAAATGCTAAAAGCTGTCCTGCCTTGCTAAGGGTCCTCAGACGGTCATTTGAAACAATCAGATCTATTGTCTCTGCCTGGAAGTACACAAAATGCTTAGTTGTGCTAATCAAGAGGTTTTAGAAAAGGACATGGTGGATCTTTTATCTTTTAGTACCTGTAGAGCTTTGATTCTTCGTTCAATGGCTGCAGTTGCAACAGCAGCTGCCATCCTTTCACGGATCTCCTGCTCTAGATGTTGGATCTCCTCCAACACATTCAGAACCTGAAGCTTCCTGAGCTGGACGATGTCGCTGTCGTCGATGGGCATCCCGCTGTCCTCTTTTCTGGACAGGGGTGTCTCTGCCCACACACAGAAGGGGCAACGTGCGTCAATGCAAAACAGGGAATAATGACGGGTCTGTGCTTGAACACATGCACCACCACAGGTGGTATGAATGCAGTGCTTTCTTAGTGATTCTCTCTTTATATGTGTCAATACAATAAAAGGAAGGGAACATTTTGGGCATGTGAGAACCTGATAAAATGCGTGTTGAAAATAACTTCCTGCATGCTCTGCAGGAGGCTCTGTAATACAGCAGATGTATTGTATTTGCATGCATCATCATTGGTGGTTTACCAATGACGATACATGCAAATGTTATCAGACTTACTCTTTGTGCTACTGCGCTCATCCGGAAAGTTCCTTAGCTCATCTTGAGCTCTGAAAAAAAAAGAGAATAGAAAGCGTTAAACTAGAAATGATTTTCAGGTCTTTTGTTATTGAATAAATCATTGCAGTACCGTTTATTCTCCCTCAGAGCGCTTTTGGCCACTTCTTCCAGAATACAAACCCCTTTTTCTGCACCCTCCACTTCCTTATCAGTGACTATAATATCATCGATGTCGTTGACAAATGGCTGCAAAGGCTGCAAAGCAACAGACCCTTCCATTCATACACAATCAACTTGTTCTGGTCTGTCACATAAAACTCAAGTCGGATATTCTACAGTTTGTGGTAAAATGTAAAAATGTTTGAACGTTAGGAATACTTTTACAAGGTATTGTACATTCATTGAGCAGTTTTTCCCTCATCTTAACTTCTTATTCTCCATACTTCAGACATACAAATATATTTTTTATTATTTTTGAAACTACCTGAACAAGAAAAATTAATTTTGATTCATTTATAAAACAAAACATGTGTAGCGTGTAATTTTGGACATTTTCAAGTGTGACATTATATGCATTTATATTTACCACGCTATCTTGTGAAGAACAGGTGTCCATTAAGTGACTGATGTATAAATCATATTCAGTCTGGAAGAAAAAAAAAACATTTCACTTAATACTCAGATTTAATTTGTTCACATATCATGCTTTTGTCAGCTGTAAGGAGAAAATTGTTATAATTACAAGAAGAAATTGTCAGAAGTTTACATACACTGAATAAGAAAATGCAAACACTTTTTTCTCATTGTCTGAAGTTAAATCAAATCAAACTTTTCTTGTTTTAGCTTAGTTAGATTTAACAAAATTTGCTAAATGCCAGAAAATTTGGGAAGTTTTTTTAACGTTTTTCTCTAATTCAAAAGTTTGCATATATTTGATCAGTAACTGCCTTTGAAACTATCTTCCAAGTTTTCTAGCAGAACATGGCAGAATATACCAAATAAATAACATTAAAGCTAAAGTTTATAGCAGAAAACCAACCAATTCTGATAAGAAGAGTCATCTAATATCTGGAAAGATAGTTATTTGATTTTGTATCTAGCGGACCGAATATTAGTGCCTGTGTTTTTATCTGAGCTTCTATTTGTATTTTGACCCTGGCTGGTTCGGAGAACATTTTCATCCAGTTCTTGCCTTCTTGTCATCCATCTGTCAGCCTTGACAGTAAATGAAACAATTGCTTCCATTTGAACAGAAACATTAAAATGCAGAGTTGTGCTATGCTGTCATGTGGAAAAAGAAACTTCCATGAAATGATATGTTTCCATGTGAATGAGCAGTGACTGAGCAGCTGCCCTCAGAAGTCCTGCTCCCTGACGCATGAAGACCAGGTTCCGGTGGTTGCTCTACTTGCGCTTGCTACACCGGGGACTCACTCTCTCTTGGCTCGGATACATCTGACGGCACATGCTAAAAATGTGCAAGTGGGTACAGAGGAAATGGAAAAACCTTGATTTCCCTCAGGATGCGTCCAAATACTGGCAAGCCTTCACATACATCATCAAAGACGTCACTGTACACCGCAAGGCGGTCTCTGCTGGTCCAACTCAGGCCTGACAACTTCTTCAACCCCTAAGAAAGACAGCAACACACACACACACAAAGCATTAGCAAATAAAAGTGTGTGTCCACGCCTGGTTTACTAATGTCATGCTTTTGGTGACTGTTTTCACCTTTCGGAGTTTCCTCTTGTGCATACTAACTGTAACTCCCACCCTGTCGTTCTGCTGGGCCATAACTCCCACCGCCTCTAACTGGGCTTCAGTGTCCAGAGCTTCATGGTCAGAATTGTTCAGAGAAAGTTGCGTATTTGCTTGATCAGATGAAGAGTCGGATTCATTCTGAGAATCATCTTTCGCTGTTTCTGACAAAGAGTCTGAAGACGAATAAGCTGCTTCAGTGGGAGCCGTGTCCTCTCTTGTGCCTGCATGTGACGAATAATCTCTGGCCTGATCTAGTTGTGACCTCAAGACCTCAGAGTCTACAGAAGCAGCGCCGGAGGTGTTCTCTTTTTTCTTCACACAGCCCGGCGACTGTGCCTCTCTTTCCTTTAGACTCTCTTCTTGGCCGGGGGAGTCATCGGGGATATCTGCTTCCTGAGGAGCCTCAACAGCAGGCTGCGCTCCTTGGACGTCACTCCCCAAATGCTGATCTTTCTGTTCAGAGCTGTTGGACATGGCTGTGAGGGTAAACATGTTGTAAAGACACAGAAGTAAAAACATCTGATGTACAGATATTACCTGAGGGATTTTACATTTTCAGTTGCAGAGAGATTCAGCTGAAACAAACACCAGTACAAGAGTACGAACACTTAGGCATCATAATGGATTCCCAACTTTCATTTAAGAAACTAAATCCAATTGAATGAGAAGCAGTCTAATTGTTTTAACCAGGGAAGAATAAATATCTAAAAAATGTCCTGCAGCAAAAAGTATTTGGAGAGTTTTTCTGTTTTTTATTTTATTTTTTGGTGACTTGTAAATACTAACAAATTGTTTCATATTATCAAACAAATTTCAATACAAAGACATAATGTGCAGTTTTCAAATGATTCTGTAATTTATTCAAGGACAAATCTAATTAAAACCATAATGACAGGGAATTATTTTTCTTCATCACTGAGGAATTTTGTTCGCCTCTCTTCTTTGCAGAATGGTTTTAATTCAGACACATTGCTTTAAAAAAAAGTATATTTATATACAGCCTATCATTTGACAAGACAGCATTTAAAATCTTAATATGGTGTGAAGCTAGATCATATTTTACCTTAAAAATCTAACACAAAAGCTCTTTCTCCCTAATCTCTTTATAATATTAGACCATAAACATTGAGCTGAACTGAAGCAAGTGTCTGCTTTGTTTTAGATGTTATCATGTGACCTTTGCGATGAGTCGACCATAGACTCTTGGAACATTTTTTTTTTCAGCCGGAAACTCCTGGGAAAGTTCACAACTGTTCCAAGTTTTCTCCATGATATGTGGATAATGTCTCTCACTGTGGTTCACTGGAGTCCCGAAGTCTTGTTAGAAATTGTTTTGACATTCTTTCCAGCCTAATAAACGTAAACGACGCTGTTTTTTTTTGTTTGTTTGTTTGTTTTTACCTATATATGAATTTCAGGACATAATCTTTTGCTTTTTGAAAGCAAAAGATTATATGCAAGTGACTTGCTTTGCTATATAATGCTCTGCTATTCCCCAATTAATGTTTCTTAAGTAAATACAGTAACATTTCTCGTTGTACCTTCGTCCAGGAATCACGACTGAAACAAAAAACTTCCACTTCCACGCCAGCGGTCTGTGATTTACAACGGTTCCCTTGGCGACCAAAGTACGTCATTCCCGCGTTGCGTTCACTGTCTGGATAATCGTCGTACTGGGGAGCTTTGAGAGACGTCATTTAATACGTTTACGCCTGAAAACGTGTGCTTGTTACTGTGGTGTGAGCAATTTGGACTTACCTGATAACATAAAAAGGGACAGGTAACATCCAGTACATTTATTAATGTGATATTTTTGTAGTTGTAATTTATTTAAACATAAGAAGACATAAAAAATGTAAATAAATAAATAAAGACTGAATTAGTTTTATCCCTCTCCCGAGGTTAAAACTGCACCTGAAAACTTTAGTTTGGGATGAAATTACATTGTCCCAGTAAAACAACATCCAGACACTCAGTCATCATTCCCAAATGAAGCGGTGTTAACATACTGCATTATGGTTAATTGGATGATTTAATAAACGTGCAGGCCAATATTGTAGGCCTACACTAATTTAAATCCCAGGTGTAACCGGTTTATAAATTGCTGCGTCTGAGTGTTATTAATTTAGTCACGGGCCAGCAGTAACGGAGCTGTCTAGACCACCAGAATACCAGATGTGTTCTCTATAATCACCTAAACGTAGAAGCTGTGAACTTCAACAAATGTCCTCTGTTCGTCCTTATTTTTTCTGTTAAATCACATTTCCTTCAAACTGTTAAAATTCAATATTTAGCAGACAAATTGTGTAAACTTATTTTACAGGAACAATTTGATTACTATAAAATCTCCCAAATGCATTAAAATACCTTCTAAAATGTGGTTATTTACAATAAGTGTAGCCTATTTTTGTGTGTAAGTCTTACAGGTCACTTAAATTGGGGAGAAGGACATGGAGGAAGAGGAGAAAGTAAAAAAGGCCTCAGTGCGTGGAGTGACCAGAATAGGAAAGCAGATGGCAAAGGCTGAACACGAAGAGACAGAGACATGTTGTGCTCCAGTTAAATGCATCACACAGTGTTTTCTGTGAATTTCTCTATCATCTAATATAATTTAGTGTATATGAACCATTAAAAAGTAAAGTTAATATCAAATTCATTTTGCGTTGGAATTGCAAAATCCTGAGTAAAACAATCATTTACTTCAAAAATAACAAACCTTTCTGTAATAAACATATCATTTTGAATTGTATTTTTGGATTTAGTAATAGTTGATTTGACACAGAGTATTGATACTAAACTATGAGGTCTAATTTGAAACAAAATGTAAAAAAAAAAAAAAATCTATTAGACAAACTAAAATGCTGACCTAAGAAACTTGTCGAGTCTGCAGTTGATCAAGTTTAGCTTAAATCACCCTTTAGGACTTGATGTTGTCTGTTATTCAAGAAAGCATTAAGACAAGCAATGAAATTAGCTCATTTGGTCTAAAGCAAAAAAAAGGAATGGCATAAGATACAACCATAAAGAGGTGCATAAAACATTACCTTCAGGACTAGAACCCTCCTTCCAACCCGAACTACAACCCTAATTACTCCTTCATCCAACCATACTTCCAACCCTCCTTCATACTTAATCCAACCCTAATGCACTCTTTCCAAATCCTTCTTAGAATCCTCCTTATAACCCTTCATACAAGTCTATTTATAATCCTAATTCAGAACTTCTTTCCAACAAAAAGCATTCCTACAACTTAATGCAACTGCCACTATGTCTCAGTTAGGGGTTGATATCTTCATTGCTATGTTCAGTGATGATCTGAGTATCTTCTTTTACATATTTGCAAAACTCCCAACATGTCTTCACACAAGATTTTATGTGGCTTTCCTTTCACCGCTGTTTTAAGGACCAGATTTATAGAAATTAAGACAGTCATGTTTTTATAAGTTTGCAGTTGTGCCTCATGCTTTCCTATTTTCAGATGCTGCTTTTATTGATTAGAAAAGCCTTAAATTGTACTGAAAAAGATGACATACAACAAAGCATTGGACTTCTTGAAAATAATGTAAATTCATCCAGTCACAGCAAAGAGAATACAATGAACAGCCAAGATTAAATAGTCCTACACATTCTCTTAATTCACTACTCAGTTATTAAATAAACTGTGCAGTGAGAAGAACATAAAGTAAAAAAAGAAAAAGATCTGCAACAGAGAGATGTTTCTTTTCAAAGATGTATTTAATAAAAGTCATTTGGGCTACGGCTCTTACATTTACAGTTGAGACATTCCTCAGTTATTCTGGGTAACAGTAACATGTCTAGACTGTTTAATTTATCTTAATGTTTACTTTGTACAAAACAAAAAAAGGCAAACATTATTCTTCTTTGTATAAAAAATATAAGTTAATTTAAATTTAAATCTAATTAAGAAAATAACAATAGTCATATAATAATAATAATAATAATAATAAGGATGATGATAAAGATCATAAGCTAAACATAGTGCAGACAATGGGATATAACTGGTGCTGAAAAGGAGGAGGGGACAGTGCAGTGACTTTATAATGTTGTCTGGTGGAGTTAGAGTGATTAAAGTAGGAAAGTGTTCACACACACACACACACACCCCCCCCCCACACACACACACACACACACTCATGCAAACCTAGTAAGAAAGTGCACTACTGCAGTTCCATTTAGCACCATCAGAGCTTACATCTCTTCCTAGATTGTACACACTACTCACCTATTTCGGCAAATGAAAAGTCAGTATATTTATATATATATATAATTTTATATATATATATATATAAAACTTCAGGTAAGGTGCATGCTAATTGTTGCTCTTGGTTGAAGCTTACTGGAAGCAACTCTGAAAAGTAAGACAGTAAGATGGATCAGGTGGAGGAAACTGATGGTGTATACGAACCCGCACAGCGACACCCAGAATCTGCAACCAATGAGGACATTCTCCAAAATGATACATTCACCACTCTCACGGGGGCTGCAGAACCAGTCAAACAACAACAAAACAAACACGCAAACAAACAAACAAACAAAAAAAAAACAACATGAAAGAGTTGAGCAGACACTTGAGTCGGAAAAATGAATGAGGACAAAACAGTTTGTCTCTTGGAAGATCTTGGAAACTTATTTAAGAGTCCAAACGTATCTTCTAGTTTGATTTAGGAAAATTTGTTATTTCTTTCTACAGCCTGTGTGTCACACAGTGGCAAAAAATTCAAACAACACTCATGAGTTACAATCCCAGAGACATGATCTAACTTTGATGAAATCATAGGAAGCCTTTAATGTTGTTTGTGATTGTTTGGTGTTATTCCTGAATGTCCATTTAAAATAATAGAAAGATTGTTTATGTGCTTTTTGAGGTGAAATACAGTTGTGTTCAAAATAAGAGCCGTACATTATCCCTTAATGAGATCTCTCCTTGTTTCTGGTATAAATTATATTTCTACATGGCAAAAATCGCAGTAGTGGATGTAGGAAAGCAACAATGTCAACAGACAAGCATTGTGTTTGATGGCATGTTCAAAATAAAATGAGTGTAAAAAACTGTACTCATTCAAAAACTTCCAAAAATTAAGAATGACATAGTTTGATGAAAAAGTCAACAGAAGAGAAAACAGAAACGCATAGAATCTGATGAGCTGTTTGGATTGGCTCTTCTCTCTTGCAGGTAAAAAGGTAATTTGCAGGTAATTTCTGGTAAGCTTCATAGCATAGAACTGGCAAATATTAGCAATTGGGTAAAAATTAAAAAGGGATTCCACGCCTCCAGACAACTTTTACCAGGCTACCAATCTGCATATTAAAAACATTTAAATCTTTTGCAAAGACGACATTCGATCTCTATTTGATTTAGAATCTCTTTGACACAAATGACAGAATTTCATATTTTTTACAATTAGTTTGCGATTTAAATAAATCCAGGAGGTAAAAAGTTAATAAGACAACAACTCCAGAAACAACTCTAACTGGGCAGCATTTGGATTTCTAATCAACAGTCCAAAATCCAGGAACTTCATCTCATGGAAAACTTATTGAGTGACATCAAATGTGCAAAACTGAGGAATGTGGCCTGATTGAAGTACTTGTTCACAGGTAGTAGAAGTGGGTCGGCTCCATGCAACATATGTAGATGTGAAGGAGTTCTCAGAAACAATGGAAGCGCAGCTAAATATCTAAAAAACCTAAACCTTTAAGCGTTCAATCTTGAAAAGAATAATAGAGAAAAAAATTTGTTTTAAAGGTTCTTCTTTCTGTCTTTTTCCACAGAATGACTCTAAATTTGGTAAGTTTTTCTGCATGTTTTAATTCTAAATTAAACACACCATGTTCCCAATGAATTTGCTTGTATGGAGGGGAAAAAAAGCTACAAGAAAAATTTAGAGCGTCAGTCACTTTTTTTTTTTAACTCACTGCTTTTAGTTTGAACACAAGTGTAATTTATGATGCGGTAAAGGAGAAGGGAGTACAAATTACTGATTATGCAGTCCTGGCTTAAAATAAACGAGCAGGGTTTGGATCCTGGTGATCAGAGGGATGTTGGTGCAGCTGATTCCTAAATGCTGAGGGGTGAGGAGCTGCAGGGGCCACCTCACACATTAAACAATGTGACTCTCTCATGACTGTTCACCAACGTCAACATCACAGTTCATCCATGTTTCTAGGGGATTTCTGCAATCTCCACGTAGAACAGGCTGTGTTTATTCAAGTACTGCAAAGGATATTTGCTAAAAAAAGAAAAAAAAGTAATAGCAAACACATTCTAATGTCCGCCTTTTCAATAAGGTGTCGCTACACCAGACATCTGCTCTACACATTCCTTCTGTCTCTGGGAATAACTTGCTGAAGTAGTGCGCGTGCAATAAACTCAACACAGAAGGCAAACAGTACCATCTCAAAGGAGCCTGAACTGAAAAGCAAAATTCACATATCCTAGCCTGTTGAAGGTCTAGAGTAAGGCCTCTTCAAATACAAGACCATAACAGGAACAGTTCAAATTAAGGAAAATGACAAGAAAAAGCCCCCAAAAATAATAATTACAACAATAACAAAAACCAAAAATAAAATACAGGAAAGGACTCAAAGGCCGTTCTATCAAATAGAATTTCCCAAGCTGAGAAGACGCAGGGTGATGGACTGAGATCCCTCCCTGACCGATGTTTGCCAGTCTCTGGGATCGGTGAAACCGTCAGTGTGGACACCTCCGTCACCCGATGAGGTAACTGTGTGCTTTTCAAAAGTCAAGCCGCTTGCAGCGCGTCAAACTCCTGCAGACGCAGGCTGTGGTTCCTCCCTGCCTCCTCCACCTCGTCCCCACTCTTCCTCGTGAAATGTCCAGGACCGTGGCAGGATTCAATTCGTGTGTTTCTTTGTTGGGTCAGAGACCCCTTTGGTAGTCAGTTATCCACCTTGACAGGGCCTGATTCACTGGGCCGGCTGGGCACAACATCCTCCACCTCCCCACGAACTATCTGCTCCCAATGACTTAGGTTCTCCCTGGAAACAAAAACAGTCCAGAGCAAAGAAAACACATTTTAGTCTGCTGTAGAAAACATTACACTGCATTTCAATGTATTTTATCTGGATTTTTATGACAGAAACTAGCATATAATTGCAAGAGGATGCAATTTCCCCTTGTGATCAATAAAGTATTTTTGGATTTGAATTCAAATAACATTTGGAAAGTGTGGGATGCATTTCTCATTGCCCCCTTTTACTCTGATACCCCTAAACAACCACAAACCTACAGCCAGAAAATGGTTTAGATCAAAGCATATTCATGCTACAATGGCCCAGTCCAAGTCCAGACTGAAATCCAACTGGATTTTGTTTGTGAAAGTAAAAAATGAATGCGCTCCCTCATCCAATCTGACTGAGCTTCAGTTATTTAGCTAAGAAGGATTTCAGTCTCTAGATAGGAAAAGCTGCAGAAGACATAAACCAATAGAGTGGCAGCTGCTCTACAAAATTAATACTTTAATATTAATATTTTAATAAAAAAAAGAAAATTAGTAAAAAATGTCTTCTTTTCCATCCACTTCACCAAATTATGTTTATAGTTAGTGTATCACATAAAAATCAAATAAAATACATTAAACCTAGTGGTTGTAAATTGAAAAGTTGTAAAAAAGTTTTAAGTATATGAATATTTAACTCAAATTAAAACCTATTAACAAAGCATGCACTAGCATGACGCAAAATAATCTTAAGCCTTTCCTGAACTTCTTCAAATGGCATTAGCACCATTAGCACCACTGTAACTCATTAATCATGCCAACTAGCGGATCCCTAATGAAGACGACCCTCCATTAATCCATCCTGATGGATGCGTGGAAGATGCATCATGGCCATCCGCTGCCATCCTCCTCAACCAGCCGGCCTGATGCAGTCTGCACTTCTTTGGCAGATACCAGCATGAGCTGCAGGGCTCCGTGGGGTCTAGGCCCGCTGCCCACCCAGAGCCTGGTGCTGACGTACAGCCGGGGCTTAAACATTTCACTGCTCACTTTGTTTGCATTCCCCACAGATCAAGGACACATTTTAAAACAGCAGCAGAAGGGCGAGCGAGCGTGCAACTCAACCCTGTTTGAAAAGCAGTAATAACAGCCGTAAATACATTCTTTAGGCGCTTATTGAACTTGAAGAGGAGAGCTGTAACAGACAAACCAGTGCATCACGGTGGGAGGAATGACCGACCGTTTACAACAACAACATTTACATTGTTTTTACTTATGGGTATTTAAAAAAGTTGAAGCATTATGTTGAGATAAAGCAGCTGGCAGACTTCGAGTGTTCAGAATGTGGATTTTTATAGTGCTCATACTCCTTAACAGCTTTAATCTAATGTGATGGATCCTCTACTATCTCTCAGAAAGACAATATTGTTTAATGAAAGGTCTTGACTGCTGCTTTTTGAAATTCTTTCTCTCCTAAATATAGCTCATTCCAATAGCTAACAAAAAAACAAAAGAAAAACTTACTTGCAGGCATTTAGGAGTGGACTAGATGGAGGAAAAAGCTCTGAAAGTGTTGTGTAGCATGGAATTGCCACACTGTTGTAGAATCCCACCTTCAAAACGAAAGAAAAAAGAAAAAAGCAACTTATGTGTTGCTTTTCTACAACAAGCTTCAGGAACAGTTTGATGACTTCATGCGAAGCAACAAGTTACTCTGTCATCTCTGCATTGTTGAACCCATTTATAATGAAGAAAAGAGAAACTGCATCCATGGCTAAATCTGAAAACTTAATATGCTGTAATCAATTTGCGTTTTCATTTGAACAAATACTTCTTTTACTGTAAAGTCAAAGACAAATACATGTGGATTTGTTTTAGTACAGACAAACTCCTCTTTCACTAAAAACGTATGTTTATTTTTTGATTGTAAATGTTTACTTCTTACTGGTTCAGTTTAATTTTGAACACGTAGAAAGATTCAATTATTTGACTCTAAATTAAGTTGATCATTAATATGAATATAGCAGATCTAAATGTGCCTATTTAGTGTGGAAATGAGGAAAATTAATCTTTTCATGGGTTCAATTCTGACCACTAGATGGCAACAAAGTGCTTCTGGTATTCTAATAAGTACGTGTTGAATATGTTTCAATAGGCATTAGGGGGAACAATAAGCCTCCATGCTTCATTATGGTTTTTACAATGGAGTATCAGAGCATTAGTAATAAAAAATAAAATGACAAGAATAATGTCATAATAATACGAGAATAAGGTTGTAAGAATATAAAGATAAAAGTCAGAATATTTTGAGAATAAAGTCAGAATATTGCAACTCTATTGTCATAATACCATGACTTTATTGAAGCAATTTTATTTTTATTTTGCTAGTGTAAGCTTAATACACGGTTGTATGTTTTAGCTGAACAATTACAATTGTATAGGTGTTAAGAAAGTTAAAATAAAAATAAAACAGTACCTATATTTCTTAAAGAGGAGTTGGGATATAAAACTAGGGCCTTGACAGGTCATACACTTGATACAATTGCACCACAAAATATCTGAGTGATGCATCAGTCAAGTTGTGTAAATAGAGTGAAGAGTAAAATTATGTTCTGACTAGAACTACTGTAAACAACTTGCGTGAACATTTTGTGGATTACTTTAATAATCCTGTAAAGGTTCACAGGATTACGCTCTGATTTAACTTCAGTTCAAAATTAATTGAGCAAGCCAAGAGAGGGGGTTCTTCAAAAATTTATTTTTGCCTATTATGGTGAGTGACAGTACACATAATGCCACCATTCATCAGAAAGACTTGTAAAGAATCTGCCCTTTGTGTTATTAGTGACAACAGCTATTACTGTTCTGAAATGTCTCAGGCTGGGAAGTTTTGTCCATAAATATTCTGTTTAAAGGTTTTAAAGTTCTATTTATTTTTCAAATTGTCCCTTTAATGCCAACAAAAACCCAAATTCAAATATGGTCTGCAACTATTTTCTTAAAATAGTATGTTAATCCTGTTCCGCCTCTGCCATTTGTGCTTTCCTCTCTCCACAGTCTTATGTTTACAGACTAAGTTCCCACCAGAGCATGTATGTCTCTTCTCTGTGTGTGTGTGCGTGTGTGTGTGTGTGTGTGTGTGTGTGTGTGTGTGTGTGTGTGTGTGTGTGTGTGTGTGTGTGTGTGTGTGTGTGTGTGTGTGTGTGTGTGTGTGTGTGTGTTGCACACAGCCCACATATATTCTGTGTTGGTCTTACTTGGCCCTGGGGAACCTCATCCTTCTTGTCTCTGTCCATCATAGGGATCGGCTGAATTCCGATCTTCTTCATTTCATCCCCCTGCAGAGGAACAAAACAACAAGATACCTTTTATTTTGTGCATAGTGCGGTAAACCTCCTGACCACCTGACAGTTCTATTTTGGGTGATTGGGGTTGTAGGACATGCAAAGTTGCAGCACTATTTACAAGCGAGAATAGAGGCCTGACTGTTAAAACTGGAGGCATGATCGTGACACTGAAACGTTTGGAGCTCAAACAGTATCCCACTGTACCTCAGCCCAGAACTCAGCATAGATGTCGTTAGCTGTGAGTCGTGTGACTTGCCACCGCTTGGTAACAGAACACAGGTCACATGCTGTCATCATCAGACCAATCACACGGTCCCTGGAGGGGAGCAGAGCCTTGTTATATCCATGCAGAAGGAAACGTAAGTGGCTTTTAAGGACACTTTCTCTGCGATTGGCGTCCTGACCTGTGCGAATGGTTGTTCAGGTCCAAGCCGCCGGTGGTCAGGAGCTCCGTCAGCTGCTGGTGGTTGTTGAAGTAGAGGGCGAGGTCGGTGGCGATGATGGCCTTCCGGATGATCTCCAGCACCTGCTCGTACTCGCTGGAATTCAGGTTGGAGAAAATATTGTGCCCTTCCAGCTATGAAAAACAAAGAGATCAATAAAAAAGCAAAAGCTCCACTTATGAGGCGTTCAGCTCAGCTACACTGCAACAAGTTTTAATCACAGGTTCATCTAAGCCGCAAACAGCAGATCATTGAGCATTCAAAATGAAGATCTTCGTAGCGGACTGTTAATCATCTTTTTATGAAATCAAAAACAAAAATCAATGACAAGAGAAACTTGGGAGAAATGTCAAATTGATAATTGGTATGATCAAAGAGTTGACTGGACCCTTCAAAAGTGATTCAATGAAAGAAAATCGGTGCAAGGTCAAAGGTTATAGATGCAAAGGTAAAATGACCTTTGCTCTTTTTACCTCAGTAACGGTGCCGCCCCCAGTAATGATGTGCAAGAAGTTGAAATGTTCCCGTTAAAATTTTGATGCTTATTTCTGAGCTCTTGTTTTTCTTCCTCTCGCTCTTTTCTTCTTAAGACTTTTATATAAAAAGACATAAAATCCTTTTTTCCCTGACTTTTTGACAAGATGTGATTATCCCAATGTGACAAAAATAATTCTAGATTTATAACATCTCAAATTAGCTTTCTGCATGGTTAGCATTACAAAAATAATGCTGTGTTTGATGTTTGTGTATGTTCCCCTGAAGAGAGTGGATCCTTACCTTAACTTTGTAACTCAGATTTCCAAAAAGCTGTCAACATTTTGAAATCAAACATGTTCCAAAACAGACAGATTAAAAGCTCAAAAGGAAAAAAAAAACAGCAACTTTGATGTACTGTGGTCTGCCACTATTTTCTTCTTACATAATTTGAACCAGGTGAAGCAACAATGCGTTTTGGCTTGAAAATATTTACAGACACAGAAGGTTTGTTTTCATCTTGGATGCAAATGTACAGTGTATATACATATATGTAAAGTTTTGACTTAATTACTGCTGTTTTGAGTCTGCATACTCCAGTTAGTGATTAACCAATTACTAAATTAATTGACAATTATTTCATAATCAATTCATCTCAGTTAATCTAATTAATTGTTTCAGCCAAAATAATTTCATGCAAATTCTGATTATAATAAACTGAGATCTTATTTACAGTGCATCGAGTGTATCGTAATGGAGCTCTACCTGCAGGATGGAGACAGTCTGGGAGAAGTGGTGCTGCTCCATGGTGGAGGTGGAGTACAGAGCAGCCAGTGGATGGTCAAACTTCTGCAGGTATGTGTTGCTGTAACCTCGGTGGTCCAGATCGTGACACAGACAGGCTACCAACAAACCCTTCTTCTGCAAAAGAAGGAGGCTCATTGGCAAGAAACGAAAGCGGCTAAATTTGAGAATTAATCTTAATTATTGGCGCTTTTCTTAAATAAGTCAAGCGTGACACAAACCTCCAGCTCGGTGAAGATCCCGGTGGTTTTCTGCAGGATGGCAAACATGCAGTGTGCCACTGTGACCGCGTGCTTCCAGTTGTGGTAGGGCACACGGCGGTAGTTTTTCCGTACTGACATGGTGAATCTGCAGAGCTTCTCCAGCTCAAAGCTGAACACATGAAGAAAAGAAAAAAAGAAAAGATTACAGAGAGAATTAGAGACTAACAACGTCCTGCTTCTGTGGCATTACCTGGACTTTCCACAGGAGCTGTGAACCATGTAGATGAAGACGGCCGGCCAAATCTCCTCATAGGGACTGATGTCAAACTGGAACCTGGAGGAAGATGTAACATGATCAGCATGTAAACTCTCATAATTTTGTTCACAAATATCTGGCTTACACACAGAATCAGGATTTCATCCAGTGGCTTGCAAAATATTTATTTTTCACACTTTCCCATTTCAACTACAAACTTTGATGTACGCTACTGGGGATTCAGATGACAGTAGCCAAAAAGTATGAAGCAGAAGTAATAAAAATCTGAAAAGTGTAGCACGCAGTTCTCCTCAGCCCCCCTTACTCTGATACACCGGAAATAAAATACAGTGCAATTCTGCTGTTCAAACGGTTACTTGAAAATGTGAAGAGCCTAAAACGATATTTCTTTGTTTTCTACTTGGTCGTCCATCTAAACTAGGACTCTGCGACATTCAACTCTGAAACTGCAGGTGACTCTTTCAAAGATGGTTCCTCATAACTTTCATTAAAAATTAAATACATAAAAATGAGTATTGATCTAATAGAAAATGCATGTTTTGACACTTTTCCTCATTTGCATTGGAGAATGACACTGTAAAATACCATCAATATTTTTTAGAACCATTTTCTTGTACTTAGGTTCAAAATTACATGCTTCCTTTTGTGCATTTTGTTTTTACAAAAAAATTTTCTGTATAATATATCAATCTTCTTATCTTTCTTTTGAAGCATAAAAATAGAAATAAAGTTGTTGTCCTTTAAAAATAATACATTTCCTACAGTAGACAGTTTTTAAAATTATGTTATCTTTTTTTTCCCAAAAACATTTGTGGCTCTCATTGAGTTTTAATTAGGCAGATTAATTGGTACAAAGGTTGAAAAGTGCTGATCCAAACTGACTGGATAAAGAAGACTATTAATCAAAGAAAGACTGAACAGGCCTTCTGGAGAACCTGCAGGGAATCCTGCTATAATGTGAAATATGGTGGTGGCAGCATCTTGCTAAGAGGGTGTTTTCTTAAAGCAGAGACAGTGAAGCTGGTCAGATAGAAATAAATGGAGGGCAACACTAGAAGAAAACCTCAATAAAATGGTTAACAATCTGGCAAGACTTGAACATTTCCGTTCACATTCAATCTGACCAAACTTGAGCTGTTTGCAAATATTTCCATTTCTCGATGTGCAAAGCTGCTAATGCAAGCCGCCCTTTTCAGATATTTATCAGTAAAAATATTTGAAATCCTTTCCCTTCCATTTCACAATAACTCTCTACTTGATTTTGCATCCCATAAGCTCCAAATAAAACACAGCAAAAAGTGTGGCTCCAACGTAAAAACACTCGGTAAGGTTTGAAGGGTGTAAATACTTTTATTCACTAACGTTTCAATTTCTTTGTAAATGGGTTCAGGAAGGTTGAGTTGGCTGAGGGTCTTCCACTCCTCTGACGTGCAGATGCTGTGATAGGACAGCTTTTCCATCGTCACTCTGTAGATGCATTCAGAGTGCCGGATCCTGTGGTACATCTGCAAAGAGACAGCGGCGAGACCGCAGAGCGGGAATCGCTCTTTAAAATGTCAACACACACGCTGAATACTTGAGAGCAGTAAATGACACAGAAACCCTGAGCATGATGTGAAACTCTTCATGCGTCACTGCTGTAATTTCACTAAAAGAGGGCTTTTTCCCCGGCCTCCCTCCACATCTGGTTTGTGTCCCTGTCCCTCATGCAGACAAAAAGCGGTGGAAGCGGCCAGGTACAGGCGCCCGGGACGCGCGTAAATCATCGCGAATCAGGAGCCGGCCAAAGTTACGTTTCCTAGAGACGTGGGGCATAAATCACAGCCAAACATAAATCCTGTCACTGGACGGATGCGAGAGAGCGCTCGTCTTAAAATATTAACATCCCGCATCAATTTTAAAACTGACTTTGTGACGCCGTTCCCTGCGTAAGCATGTCACATGGAGCTGACAGTGACTCAGGTCCCGCGGTGAGCGCACGATTTGACAGAGAGACCACACAATGCAAGAGCTCGGAGCTTAACTATTCATGAAAGCGATAATCGTCAGTTTTTATTCATATTTTGAGGTAACGGACACTACAAATAGAAACTGCAGTCTTGATGTGGAGGGAAATTACAATTACACAGTAGCACATAAGCTGCAACAGACATGAAGAGTGGAGAACGCTGAGGGTCAGCTGAAAATAACCACCGATCTGGACTGTCAGATTATTGTACTGTTTATTATGTATTGTGAAAAATTTCTTAGCACGATAAGAATTTTCTTTTATCATCGTCACGATAAATTTCAATCAATGATGTTAAAGAAAAAACAAAACTAGCAGTATTATCAGAAACTATTTACTATTTTCCCCACTATTGCTAAACAAATGGTGGGCAATCAGTAAATTTAAAAATATGATTAAATAAAGTTGCTGTATGCAGTTCAGTGATATAAATCTCTCTTTTTAAATATGTGGCATCTTGAAGCCTGTTTCAAATGGCAATATTTTTCAAGAGCAATATTTGTGTTTGCTGTTCCATGCATTTACACTCATACCATCACCTACAAAAAGAAGTCTAGTTGTTTTTTTTCACCATATTTTTTTATTGTTTTAACAATAGCACCACAAAATATTGCCATAAAACTTTAAGTTTCCCACCCCTTTTAAGAGATTTTTAGGTATTCCATCAAAAACATTTAAGCTTGTGTGGGATACTCACATTTGCACAGTGTAAGGCCAGAGCACAAAAGACAGCAAACATCTTAAAGTTGTTCTCATCGGTTTTAGTGAAGGCACTTCCGCTTAGCTTGTTCACCATCTGCACCACACCGATAACAGTCCCCCTGCTCACAATGGGCATGCACAGGATGTTCCGCGTGGTGTAGCCAGTTTTGAGGTCTACCTCTCTGTCAGAGAGCACATGCACAGAGAGAAGGCATCAGTTTGACCTTGAACTTCATGTTGCTTACAGGTCTAGACAAGTGGGTTTTGTTTATGACTCTAACACATTCTAACTAGTTCGAATACAATAATAACTTAATGATATTTAAACAATGAGACGATAAAGAGAGCAGTGATTTACCGGTTGAACCGTGGGTCTGCATAGGCATCTGGGATATTTAAGACTTCCCCTGTCCGAGCTACTTGGCCAGCTATTCCTTTGTCTATGGAAAACCTGCAGGGACACAAGATAGGAGAGAGGAAGCATTTATTGGATAAACATAATGTTAAAGAGCTATATATGAACTAATCTGATGATATTCTACAGTAAAGTTAGGTATTATCTGAATGCTGTTCCTTGAAGTATTGAAATATTCAATATATTTCAAATAGATTTTATGTGACATAGCAACACAAATATACTGGATAAATGTAAAGAGGAAAAATAATTCATCTTTTATTTATTTATTTATTTATTGCACAGTGAAGGGTAGATTTAATATTAAAATTTTGACTAGACCATTCACAAAAATACTTGTGATGTTTCAAAATCACAAGATTTTGGTTGTGATGTTAATATTTTTACAACACTGCAAAAAGAATGTTTTTGGCCTAGTTTCTAGTGTAAATATCTTACCACACTTGATATAGATATAGGAGTTGTTTTAAGTCAATAATTAATTTATCAATAATTCCTGATGGAAAAAAATACTATCTATAAGAGAAATAATCTGCCAGCGGAACAAGTGGAACTTTTTATAACTTATAATATGAGAAAAATGCTTAGTAAGATTTTATGTTTTTGCAGTGTGTTGGTCAATAACACAATCACCCCACAAACACATTAATCTTTGTGGTTGTGATGTTAATATTTATGAAGTGACTTTTTTCTCACTTGCTTTTACCATAATATATTAGTGACTTAAGTACAGGAATCTTGCAACATAATATCTAAAACATAAAAATACAAATCTGAAAACCACTTCAGAGTTAAAGTATAGAATGAAAAGGTTATAAACCTTATTTCTTTTGTTTTCCTAAACACAGGTTTGCCTTCCTTCTCCTCCCCGATGTCGAACAGGTCAGAGTACAGTTCTTTGTTGCTGTGATCTACCTGGAAGAGCGCACATCTGTCTGCATTCACCAGGTTTTTTGCATATATCTGTAAAGCAAAAGAAGGGGCACATCATTTGATAGATGGTTAAACCAACAACGAATCACCAGTTCAGTTTTAGTGACTAATGTACTAATGGTTTAATCTTTGTTGGCAGAAATTAAACAAACTGGTTATTCAAAATTGATCATTTTACACTTTCAATCTGATGGCACCCAGCTAGCAATTTTAGCCAGATGAGGCGTTAGAGGAAGGACTCCCCTAAAAATAATCATATTTTATTGGTTATAAATATTTTTACAGTCAATTTTCCTAATATAGCTGTAAAGAAAAACTGATAAAGCATAAATCAGACTCACCATAATATGTTCAAGTAGAGAATCTATTGCCACAATGTTATCAAAGTATGTTCTGTGAAAAAAGAAAACAACACATTGAGATGTTTTAACAAACAGAAAGCTCTGCAGACTTTCACACTAAAGTTGTAAACGCTACAATCCTCCTTAAGCTATTCCACATTTCTTGTGTTGTAGCCACAAATTTCAGAGCTTTTTATTAGGATTTTATGTGGTATGTTAGTACAAAAAACAAATGCACACTAGCCAGATTTTCTTATTTTAAGCAAAGACAAAATTATTTTTTGCCATCATGGTTGGCTTTGTGTTGGCCTGTCACATAAAAATCCACCAAATATACACATCATGGTCAAGTTTGTGGCTGTAATGTAAAAAAAAAACGTGGAAAAGTTTCAGGAGTATTAATATGTTTGCAGTGCATTATAAGCTTGTTAAAATATAATTATTACTCCTAATGCATGAACACAATGTTTATTTAGGACTTGTGTTGTCGTGAATGCAGTTAAATTGCTGCCACACTTAAAAGAATTTCCAAAGTTTAGGATCATGGTATAAAAACAAATTTCACAGCTTTTCAGCAGCTTTCATTGAGAGTTACAAAAAGGAGATCTCAGTGCAGCTCTTACTTTGACACATCTAGTAGGAAGTCATTAAGCTCAGTCTGTTTGGCAAGGCCTCTGCACATCTAATAAAGAAAAATAGGTCAGGATGAGACACACAATTGTATGAAGAACTTTTTCTTTTCTTTTCTCCAAACACATCCAGCATGTTCTGTAAGCGAAGCGGCTCACTGTCTACAAACAGGCTCGCGGGCCGTTTACTCGTGTCTGTAACAACGGAGAGTGCCAGCGGCAAGCAGCGCTCCGGCGCTAACCGAGGCTCAGAGGTCCACTGTGGCCAGAGCTGCAGTGGGACACCGCTCCTCTGGGGTACTATGTTATCTTTTTCATAAAACATAATGACGTCTCAGGGGAGGCATTTGTTGAACGCATGGTCTTGTTGATTGGACTGGGCATACTGACAACCCGGTTCCTGTACACAGTGGATTTCCCCAGTGCAGAACCAGAACAAACAATGTCATCCAAAAGCATAATAAATGGTAGGGTACACCTTGTTGCTAGAGGCTCAGGAGGAGAAGTGCAGCTCAAATTCAGATCAGGTTTGTATGCAGGCATGCCTACCTGTACTTGATGAATGGCAACAGATGCCCAAGCTAAATTTGCTGTTGCAACCTGCAAAAAAAGAGGTAAACTTAGTTTTAAAGTTCTGGAGACAGTAAATTAATACATTCAAACCACCTAGACACATTTTGACATTTTAAAAACAGTCACAGTCAAGCTAGTTCTCACAAATTCAGTGCAGCTATGCATACTCAGCTAAAATCCTACAGAAAAGCATCACATGCTTGCTGTTCTGGTTTCTGCTTACAGAGCTTTAATGTTTCGAAGATTTATTTGGAAAAACAAACAAACTGCATGCAACCTTTGCAGCTGCAAAGGTAGTGGAAAAAGGTACTCCCATCAGGATGTGGTGTAAATGAGACTCTGCTTCAATGTGAGAGTCATAAAACCAACCTGATGAAGTCAAATCAAACACAAGGGTGTTAATCTATCTTGCCTGGGTATGAGATTTGTATCCATGTCAACATATATGATGTAAAAAATAATAATTTTCAACTAATTACAAACAAACTAAAACTTTGTTGGAATTTTTATACTTATTGTCCTGCATATTAAGGGTTTGTAGCAACAAGACCTCTTTTGTCCTAGTTAAAAAATCAAGTGACATAACAAAAGAGAAAAAGAAAAATGCAAATTACATCTGATTTTAATCAGTAATACGTTCTGTCAAAAATTATTTTCAGTAGCTATTTGCCTCTAATGTGATTGCTGCACATGGTGTTACAAAAATGCACACAGTTCATATTTTCCAATGATAAAAACATTTTTACTTATTCAAAATCTTAAAACTATCACCAGTAGCTTGGATATTAAAAGTTACAGCTGCTGTCATTCAGTGAAACGCAATACAGCAGTGAAATTACCTAAAACAGTTACAAATATTTGCAATAGAAGTCTAGTGAAATCTGTCAGTATTTAAAGCAGCGCAGCGACTTTACGTTGCTTTCAGCTTCAGCCCTTTTCTACAAGGATCTTGAGCACATTTCAAGTCATCCTGCTTGAGCCTTATTTAAAACGTTGCAGGTGTCCTTGTTCTGATTTAGGCTGACCTCTTGGTGTCTTAGGTTGAAAGGCTCCCTGCCCCAGTGCCGATGCAGCTCCAGGATGGCGATGAGGTCCCCAATGGCAGTGAGGACGGGGAGACACAGGACAGAGTGAACATGGATCCCTGAGTCCTGCCCTGTGCCGTCCGGAAATCGCTCGTCCTGCAATTACAGAGACACCCGTCCAAACTTCTACCCAAAGAAACTGCATGTGTTTTACAACAGTGTATCATAAGAAAGCCTACAGCCATGCACAAAAATGTGACTTGCATTGTACATTCAACTGTTTGGGTTATTTGATTGACTTGTTTAGTGAGATTTGTTTAGACTGGAGGATTTTCCGTCACAGAAGGTCTCTGTTGATATTTTCTTCTGGAATCTGTTTTAGAAATTTTCCTGTTCAGTTCCTGAAAGTCCCTGGTTTGTCAAATTCTGTTCTCTAATCAAAACAGGCAAATTAGCCTGGAAGTCGCAATGAAAGGAAATATAGACATCATGTTTTCAGCTTATAGTGCAAAAATATTCATAATCTATAAAACATTTTTTTTTTACAAATTTTGTCATTTTGAGGAAGAAGAAAATTAATTCATGCATTTGTATTCAGTCCCTCAGCAGCTTGGAAATGGACAAATGTACCCCTCTGCAAAGCACTATTTTTAAATCTTGTCATTGATTCTCAGATGGATATGGGACTGAATTTGATGTAAACCATGCCTCCAACAGGTTTTCTTCTAGGATTTTCCTGTTTTTTAGTCACGTCCAACTGCCTCTCTACTCTGACCAGTTTCTCTGCACCTGCTAAAGCAAATTAACCCCCACCATGATGCTGCCACTACCATCTTTCACAGTGGAGACTGCATTTTCAGGGTGATGTGCATTGTTGGTTTTGTCAAACAGTTAAAATTTTGATGTCATCTGATATCCAGAACGACACGGTTTGTTGCAAACTGTAAATGGGACTTTGATGGTTTTCTCTCAACAACAAACATCTTGCCACTCAGATTTATGGAGTGCATGACTAATGGTAATCATATTCAAAGATTCCTATAATTGATCTATTAATGTCTGCAGCTTATTTGTTTCTTCTCTGATTAAATATCTTGAAGAAGTTTCAAACTCTTAGTGCTCACTTCTGTGCTTCATGGTCTTTATGGTGCATTTGAAAAAAAAAAAAACTTTAAAATTTTGACCCACTTCACAATTTTGCACTACTTTATTTTGGTCTGTGACATAAAATCTCTGCAAAGTATATGGAAGTCTTTTCTTATAATGTGACAAAATACATTAAACATATTTGTAAGGTTCTGCAAACAGTTCAGCGACCAAACCATCAATACGGTCAAATTCTGATTGGTGTGACCTCATTCTGGTTTGAAGAGAGCCGTCGTACCCCTATGATGTCCTCCACTAGCAGTGTTTTGCGAGTCTTGGCAACGTAAGCGGCAATGGTTGTCCCGTATGAGATGGGGCCAGACGGGACGAGGCTTGGACGGCCATCCTTGGCCCCCCTTGGAGCGTATAAACATAAACTCTGTAAAAGAAAAAGGAAAAGTGACAACAGATGATGAGAAACACACAGAGAAAGAAAAGGTAACTTTAATGAATAAATTCAATCAACTCACATTGTTGCATTCTCCCAAGAAATAAAGTGCAAAACTATCAGCTTTTGTTGCTGCAGAGAGAAGACATACATGTGCTTAGATGCAGCTTACTTCAGCAGTTTGCATTCTCAGACATTTTCTCCCATCGATTAAAGACAGGCGTAGACAAAAAGCATAACAAGGAGGCAGCCGCAATCGAATCGTCTAACAATGGCCGGCATAGCAACAAGTGTACTCTGACCGAGGCTTTCACTGCCTTCCAGTTCATCTCATTCCCAGTCCTCCTCTCCAGTCCCATTTCACACTCGGATATAGGTCATGTTATCATACAATGTGACATCAGAGAGGCGGCTGAAGCACACAATACTCAGATTATCAGGAAGTTAATGAGTGATTTGCTTCGGGTGAACTAGCATATTTAGTTCACTCGGAAATATTTAATCACTATTGTATGTATGTTTCTCTCTATTGGGAATAAAGTGGTTTACCCTGCACATATCTCAGCCACTGACCAAGCTATTTTTGTCTTTTTCCACATATACTTTAGGTTTTCAATCATCTAGTTAACAACACAGTTATGATCTGGCACAGCAAATAGAACAGTGAATCTGTCAAAGTTTCTTTAGACAGACATGTGACTCTTGTTCACCTCACATAATAGATGTTATCTGAAGTCTTCACTGAGTGTGACTTTAATCTTAAAAAGCATATTTCATCATATCTTACACAACGCAGACATTACCTGCATTTTTGCCTTTGAGTAAGAATGCAGGTCATCTCTGCAGTAGAAACTACTCGAATGCTGCCTGAATTTTTGTTTTTTTATCTGAACTTTTGTCAGAAGTGGTTACTGTGTCAAATTGAAGGCAGACTGAACTTGTCATAGAAAGTCTTTAAATCTCTTTTGAGGTCTCATTGCTACTGCTCCCAGATATCATTTCTCTTCCTCCGTCTCACTGAACAAGTCGACGTATAAATCTTTGCCTTTTTAGTTTACTTTCCAGCTGGAACTTGCCGATCACTATTGTCATCTTGGGTGGCCATCATGTTTATGCACTGATGCCCAGACTTCATGTTCCATATATAATGCTGGTTTCTTTCCTTAAAGCTAAATATTTATTGACTCTGGAGGAGGAAATAAATGGAAGCATCATGTTTTACAAGTCTGAACGCAACTAAAAAGGAAAAGATGTTAAGAAAAATATGAAATATGGACTTTAATGGCTTCTTCAGAGTTATTTTTAAATCATAAAAATCCCCCTCTGGTATTCTTAGTGTTTGACCCCAAGTTCATTGAGAGATGTTTATCCAGGAATTTGTCATAAACATGCTGATTATTTTCCGTCAGAAAAAAAACATCTGGCTATTCTCTGTGACATTTTGTTGTAGCATTTGTGTAATAAGGTTCAGTATGTATTGATATGCTTTTACCTGTTTTGATTATGTTGGACAACTCATAGAGCAGAAGTTTGTTGTCTCCTCCAGTGTCCAGCCGCTGCTCCATGAAGCTGTTCAGTTCATACACCACACCCTGCATGTTTGTGTCCTGGTACTGCTGGACACCACAAAAAAACATTAGAAAAATGGAAACAACTTGCACTTTGTGGCACATATTGATTTATACACTTCATAGAAAAGGAAGATACCTTTTTTTAAATTGAGAGACAGAACATTATCTTTTTGCCATTGACCAAAATATTCTCCTCCACGACTCGATGACATTCCCTCTCAGTGCTGCGTTTTAGCTTAGAGCTCCCCAGTGGCTCCAAAGAAGGTCATAACAACCACAGTTCTGACTGGAGTCCCAACAAGCCCTGCTGCAGAGCGTCAGCTTTAAAATCGTAACTGTGCAAAAAGACAAACCTCCAGCCCTTTTTACGAGGCCAAAGAGATGTCTATTTCTGCGCCTGCAGAGAGGGTGAGGACAGGACAGCAGGGAGAGTGGTGCACTAGAAAGCGTCCCCAGCGGGACGCTTTCTGCCCTCCCACATCCTGTTTGTGCAGACGTATGGATGACGCACTAAGGGGTTGAGGGGACCTCATTTATTTTCCTGTGTCATAAGTTTATTCTACAGAGGTGGACGGCTCAGATCCCCGGATGTAACCGGGAAAAGGTGCGAGTTTAGGTGTGACACGGGGGAGAGTCTTTTTTCCCAATTTTTTAATGCAAATTAGTTATAACAAAAATGCACACTAGAGTCTTCAGCATTAAAAATGCTTAATAGTTAGCATCATACAGTAAATCGGTGCCATTCTGTAGATAACAGAAGAAAGCACTGGACTGACTGCAAAACTGTTTGGGCAACTGTCCGTTTGTTTGAAAATGTTTCATTTAAATTAGCATTTAAACTCCTTTACTCTTTTACCTCTCACTAAAACATAGCAAATAATATAAAAATCTGTCTGTTCTTTAAAGGTCTCAGCAGTTTGTTAGAAAACATTAGCAAACAGCAACGTGATAGATTAGCAAACACCTGACAGGACAGAGAGATACTTATTAATCAAAATTAGAATCAGCTTTATTGACCATGATTGTGTTCAAAAACAAAGAATTTGATGTTGGTTTGAAGTGCTCACTGCGTACAGACACTAAGTATAAATGGATAATCTTTAGAGGAATAAAATAAAGGATAAAAAGAACAGTATGTACGGCCATTTGTTTTATATATGAAGAAAAGAGAAAGTGGAATATGCTCATTTTGTTTCACAGCAGAGTAGCTGACTGCTCAGGCTATAAGGTGTTCATTGTGTTCATTAGAGAGGGAGCCTGGGGGAACGAACTGTCTCTGTGGGGTCTGGGTTTTGCAAATAGCACTCTGTAGAACCAACCTGAAGATAAAAGTTTAACAGTTTGTGTCCAGCATGTGTGGGGTCTACAGAGAAGTTAGCTGCCCTTTTCTGAATATACTCCCACACAAGTACTAGATGAAATCACTTAATTTAATAAGTAAATTAGGTTTAGGTGTAACACAAAAACTTACCCTGCTGACTTCTTTAGTCGATGTGCCATCTGTAAAAACAAAACAAAAAAAAATTGTAACAAGCTGAGTGTTTCAATATGTTACTTAATCATGTGATTTATTCATCTTTTAACTTTTTGACTGATGTAATTTATGTAGAAATCAACCAAAATAAAACATACCAACAGTTATTTGACTGTAATTTGCTGTCTCACATATATTTTCTGCAAATTTTCAAACTATTGGCAATGTTTCCAAAAAACAGCAGCAACCAAAAAACAATCAACAAATATTGTTTTTTTAAATAAATAACTTTATTAAAAGCTTTTGAGCATTCTGTTTCTTAACCACTCTTCAAAATGGGAGAGACAACAGACAATATTGTAGCCATTTTAATGAATGGCTACAAAAGTTTCGGCCTTTTTGCACATTCTTGCCAGCAGTGCCTATAACCATGCAGGGTGGTGTACTAAAGTGAATTTTTGTCATTTAATCTAAGACTAACTCAAATTTCCAAGATGTTTGAACCAAACCTTCCAAACAGCTCACACCATTTTGCAGAATGTAGTCATTTAAATCTCTAATATTAGCCACCTGTGTTGCTAAACACAATAATCACCTTAAACTACCAAAACATTTTGTTTTAGATGTTAGAAATTTGCTCTTGATTAGAAGTTCCTCTGAGCAGCTGTTAGCTTGACTACTCTATGAAATCGTTTTCTCTTATTTTCTAGGCAGGGATCGCTCCAACTGTTGTACTTAATAGAAAACCCATTACAGCTCAATGCTCAAAACAAGCATCCTTCAACAGAATTATTAACCTATGCCATTCAGGTCTTATCTCATGTACAATTGTTTATCATAGCTGCCAGTTTCTTATAGTTTCATCGAATAATCCTAATAAATGTTTATCCTAACCAAAATTCTATCAGTTCAAGCTGTTTCCTGAATTAAAATCTGAACATTCATGTGCCTTGACTATTTGAAATCTGGGTGTGTGCTTTTCTGCAAATTAGCACAATGATAGATTGCAGTGAGCTGACAGCACAAGCTGCAAATAAGCAAAAGCATATGTGGTCCTCCCAACAGTAGTTGAAGGGAAACATTTTGAGCAAAACAAAAAAGTGTGGGGTTGCAATACGACAAAAAATATATCCAACCAGATTTTGTCACATATTTTATGAACTGTGTAACTACACAAATGAAGTGTGTCATCTTGTGTCTCTGTCAACAGAGTTAAAGCTATGACTTCATCAGTTTAATTCACTGTATGAAGGTGATTTTATAAAATTTGAGAATGTTTCACAGTCGCAATCATTTTTAAAACAATTATTAAAACAATTAGTTTTGGGGTCAATTTTTTCATTTTCAAACATTTCAATATATGCTACAGAAAAAAAAATTGAAAACAGCTCTAAAACACTTTCTGAACAACTTATGAAGGAACGAATCTGAAGTAAGAGAAAATACAAACTGTAAAACCTTCTGACTTCGAGTGAAATTTATTCTTGTGATTTCCAGCTGTTGAAATTGGATGAAAATACTTTCAGTGACAATAACAAAAGTTTCAGCCATTCCTAAAAGTTTCTGACATGGAGTCTTGGACAGCTACGTGGGATGAAAATCAAACATACGGCTCCAGGGGCTCTTCATCAAATCAGGGTCAACGGCACACCAGTAACTATTGAGGCCCCTTTGATCATATTTCATTTGAAAAATATTATGCACAAAGGTTTACACGTTTTAGAAATACAAGCTAAAGTTCTGACCAGAGTTGGTGAAACAAATCCCTATGAAGATGTGAAGAGGGCTTTTACAGCCAGCCAAATTGTTTGTTGTTTTAAACATTCCTCCAGTATGCTACGAGTTTCCTAACTTAGCCATGAGACTTATTTTAGAGTGAACCCCTGGCCAGGCGTGACGTCAATCAGAGGACTGAAAGCAGCACTTGAAAAAGACTTTGAATCCCTTTATAAAGGGGAGCGTTTCTTTTAGACACGACCTTTTCTGACTTCTACAAGTCTAGATATTTCACACACAGATGCCTTTGAAGACTAAATCTGACCAAACTAGTGACTGGAGAGAGACTGGAAGCTGTTAAATTACAACAAAAACTAAACTGTGTTAGTAAACTGATGCATGCTGTGTACATAATAAACATATACAAAGATTGAAATTATTTATATATATATATTATATCTGAATATATATACACAAGTGTTATTAACGGCAGCCGAGAGCAGTACTTGTTCTTGCATGAATGTCATCCATCTTGAAAGCTTCACTCTTTATACAACTAAAGGCACAATTTAGACAACTGAGCTAAAACAAAAATATCACAGGATAATTTTGTATTCGCAAAAATATTCTGATGCAGAGAATATGCCGTGTATCAGATGACACAGGGTACATCGTCACCCTGTGTCAGAGAAAATGTATCGTTAATTGAAACTTTTACACTCAAATCTTGTTTCTGTTAGTGTGTTCTAACATCATTCCATGCTAGAAAATAAATATTGAAATGCATCATTAAAAGATCCAGAGTAGTTTGATATTTATGATAATAATCCCTTGTGAATTTCGAGTAGATTCTGAATTAAAACTTGTTTCAGGAGCATCACATTTAAAAAGCTAAGGGGTTCTTGCTTAGTATACATATACAAAATCCTCTTCTCCCTTGAAACCTCAGAGCTATAAAACCTCATGGCCTTTAAATTTGAGCTGTTATGCAGAAGCAGGTGCCTGCTTGGACAACTTCCAAAAGTTTTCTTAAGGTTTGCATGCAGAGCCATGCCCATTTTTCAGTGGCTACAGTATCAGCATGGTTTTCCAATCAATGTTTTTCCTAGAAATCAGTAAGGTTTCAGAGTGTGTTGTTGGTTTTGTTTGGTGTGGGTCAAATGGTCTACATACCTTATCCCACTTAGATGAATGTGGGAGAAAACAACAATTTGCTCAACTTATTCAGCAAGAACAACATCTCTGTTTCATCAGATATGTTGGTGAATTAGTCCCAACAGGGCCGCTATTCCTCAGGGAGCGTGCCTCAGGTGAATAATGTGCAGGTCATCATTTGAAGCATTCAGCAATGCTATAGTGGCCTACTACCATCCCATATTTGTATGGTGCCGTTGCTTTCAGTAAATACAAAAAGAAAGCACAGACACTTATATCCTGGCATCACAGTCGGCAGTGAACACCAAATAGGACTGTGTAGCAACTCTCCACACATGTGGGATTTGCACTTCTTCTAACTTTATGGCACTGTTGAAACTTCTCGTGAACTGGAATTACTTTTGTTCAAAGATTTATATGTGTTGTGTCACACTGGTTTCAAATTTATTACACAGTTTGGAGGTCGCCTTTGACATTTAACAAAAAGAGCTGTTCAATTCAAATAACTTATTCAATAGTTCCTTTAAAACTGCCATTTTATGCACAATTAAATAACTATCTAACCTTCAATTGTTATAAAATGTTGTGGCCTATGTAGCAAGCACTTTGAAATTGAAATCTGTCTCTTTAAGACAGATTTCAATTTCAATCTGCTATTTCTGACACTACACCTTCAGCGTGTCATCACAACAATTCTTCTCCTTTTGTCATTAACTACCATTGTTAAGAGCATTGGCATGAGAAGTAGTATATGTTGACACCAGATGTTTGCTAATTGGTCATGCAGCTAGTCTGGAGGAGATTCGAGGATTTCTCAAAAATGCATTAAATAATCAAAGCAACATTCCAGGTATGTTTTAGACGAGGGAATAAAATAATGTAAACGTCAAAACACTCAATTCTACACAACACTGCCACCCTTTTAGAGGAATAAGAAAAGCTTCGATATGTTGCACAAAATAATATTTACTTTATCTGTTTTTAGGGCAAATACCTCACACTGATGTCACATGTCAGCTGAAGGATAAAAGCACACATCTGATGCATCAGCTCAGTTAATGATCTATAATGCGACGTTATAACACATGACCTATAGACACACACAGAGGATATGAACAGCTCCATGCATGTCTTTAATGTTTCACAGGAAAACGAGCCTCTCAGTCAGCTGGGTCTAATGTGCACAGCGCTTAATGGGAGCTTTATTGATCCGCCGCCACAGATCCACAGCGTCCCACAGGACGGTTAACCAGGAGTGACTCAGCGGTCAGCACCTCGTGGTTGACCTGGTGGTTGCTATGCTGCCATAGCCAAAGCCGACGCCTTTGTTTTATGTAACGTTAGACACCAATATGGCTATTATACAATTATTAATGCTTTCAATCATGATACTGAGCTAAAAGCCTGAAAATATTTTTTAATTGGGACAGTGTTTAATTGACATTATTGCATGGCTTCTGTTAAACATCTTGCAACAACTGTACAGCCGGTGAATAATTAAAGGATGTTTAGGGCAAACAAGCAGAAAATAATTGACTAGGTCACTAAATTTCCACAGAAAGCAAGTGATTTGAGCTCTTGAAGCTCCATCCTCCTGATGGAAAGCCCTGTAGGTGAGCCAGGTCTCTTATCACAGCCCTGAGATGAGAGCTTCTGGTACACAAAACCAGCTTTGTGTGCTTCTGATGAGCCTCTAAATACAACTCAGGAAACAGCATCAGCTGCTAAAAAGCTCAGCCAGGCTTTTTCCCTCTGGTATTGAAACAAAAAAAGCCCAAGCCCAGTGATTCACTTATCCTCAGAGTTTTCCATTACCCATCCTTAACAGCCAGTTAACCATTTGTTACTTTAGAAAATTATAACAAAAATCCAAACCTTAAAATCAATTTAATTATGTTTAACTGAAGCGCTAATAAAAGTAACCAGTATTTATGCTTTATATAAACATGAAAATAGTTTGAAAACAAAAATAAATGATACTTTATAAATGTTTTAGAGACTCTGCTGTCATAAAGTATTGCAATTTCAAATGTAAGCTTTTCATAGTTCACAATCAAAATGCAAAAACAATAAAAATACAATTTTGAAATTGAGATTGTTGAACATCAACCAGATTTCATTGAGGAGCTCCACCTTCATGAGCTGAAATTTCAGAGCTAAAGCTGAACAGAAACAGGCGTTATATTTCCTCCATGAGCTTGTATCTGTGTGTGAGGCTGCAGTGCAGTACCATGGCGTTTCTGCATGGACGCAGCAGAGAGTTTGGGAGCAATTAATTATGCCACGATACATCGAAAGGCAGCGTAAACAAAGCCAGTGACACATAAGCAGTATGTGCTTATGTGGTCTATAATGTTCTTATAACATGCTTAAGTTGTGTTTTATAAAGGAAAAAAAATTATTTATATGAAAAAAGTATAATGACTGGAAGAAAAAAAAAAGTAACAGATACAATTTTTCTATTAGGAGAAGCTACATTTGCAATAAAGACAGCTGCATAAAAGTGCATAAAGGTGGAGGTTTTCTCTTGAATTACAGGCAGTAACATAACCTTTCTTGACACACACATACAATAATCTATCTTTACAAGGACTTTGCATTGACTTCCGTTTATTTATTTACTTTTATTAATTTCTATAGCCTGATCCTGACCCCAAAACAGTTCTTTTTATTCGGCCCAATGCCTGGGTGGTGCATCCCCACAACATAGTATTTGTTGTAAAATTGGACCTCATAAGGTGAGAAATGCTAAAGCACACACACACACACACCCACGCACACACACACACACACACACGTACACACACTAACACTTGCACAACTCGTGTGTTCTTGCTCAGACAAACTGATTTATGTAATCCAATGTTGTCCGTCACATGATAAGTGAGAACAAGCCCGGCTGCAGGGATTGCTTCCAGGAAGCAGCGGTTATCTCAGTGACGATCACATGATGACAAGTCCTCCTCCTTATGCTGCTGGTGGTGGTACACGCATAAAAATATCAGATCAATCACTAAAAGGCCTGGCCTAAAAAAAACAACAACATACAAAACAAGATATTGAATGCATCTTGTTTGTCTCCCATCAGTGTCATCATGGACTGGACTAAACATGGCTGCACAACAAAGGAAAAGCAAGGGAAATGTCTTCAGTTCGTATATTCCTGTCATCGGTCTGACCTTTCAGGCTGAACCAAAAATTAGATGTAACTTGTAATGTGAGTGGTTATGGCCAACGAGAAAAAGCTACAGAAACCCTTCAGAGTGGAGCCGAGCAGTCTGCTCATCGTAGTCTAACAGAGGAAATACAGTGAGTAATATTACTGCTGCTATGTAGAGAACAGCCCAGAAACAAGCAGATGGTGCAATCCTAGAGCTGCTACTCTGATTTAGCACAAAACTTCCCTCTTCTTCCTGAATAATAAACACAGACATATATGGTATTTATTTGGCCATATGTGATTACATACACAAATCACATCTCATCTATGGACTGATTACATCTATAAACTAATTGCTATGAAAATGGTACATCTTGTCATTGTAAAAGCAAGAAAATAACTAAGTAAGAGCAATTTAGTGCAATAAATAAGCTGTTGAACAAAAGTCTACACACTGATCATCTCTAGCAAATGACCAGCTGCATGGAAATTAAAATATCTTTTTCTGATCAGTGAAGGCACCATCTAGTTCTCCTCATTCAGAGAACTAGATAGCAACAAGCACGCGTGGGAGGAAGGCTCTTATATCTTTTCATATTATAATTCTGAAAGAAAAAAAACATGACAGATTTAGATATGACGATGTGTAGCTGGTTGTCTGTCCTGTGTGTCTTTTGTTGTCGTGGGATGGAGTGACCACCTGTCTGGTGATTCCCCTGCCTCTTAATGAATGCTAGAGAAGTATTACATATGTCCCAAATTCATATTAGTGAATATATGTCTGGTGCTTACGACTTTGTGGTATCAAAAATGCTACATATGTAAAATATAGCAGTAGGACTTGATTAAGACTCTTGATAGAGTTAATTTAATTACTTGCTATTAATTGCGTCATATATTGACAAATATGCAATATTTTAATTCAAAAAGCCTTTATACAATTATTGAATAAATAAATATATTTGTGTTTTGAATCTGTTATTTGGGTTACTCAACCATCAAAGTGCTGTTATGTCTGATCAGTTTTTAAGTGGTTCAGGATCATTCATGTAACTTCCTTTAAAAAAAAAAACTTCTTTAGAAATGTGACCTGTGTTTGTTGACTGTAGCTGTGATGCTGCAACAGGTTTAGCACTGAGATTGTATTTTAGGCATGAACAGCTTCGTTGACAAGCCAAATCCTTTTAGCACAACTTGCGCAGAAAATAAAAAAATCCCAACTTTCATGTTGGCAATAGGACATTTTAAAAGACTGGAATAAAAGACTAGGATTTCTTAACCTCTTATACAAAGGTGTGAATTATACACAACTAACTAATTTAATGGCACCAACTAAAAATCTTCACTATTTTTAGTTTTATAAATTTATTTTTATGAATTTATCTTTTTTTTTTATTTCTCTAAACTTTTTAACAAAAGTTTTGAATGTTTTCCTCCAAAGGTGTGTGAGCCTGTGGCGATACTTGTCTTAGTCTTTGCCTGCTGCACATCAGTTCGGTTCGGCTGCATTCATTGATTGACTCTGAACAGACCTGCAGGATAAAATGTCCACTTCACTGCCAAACGAGAAATGTTCTGAAAGTTTTTCCCAAAGTGATCTAAATTCCGGACGCAGTTCAAGTCAGGTGAGATTTGCAGCACCAGATGCTACTAATGATGCTACTTATGGGCAAAGCTGCTGAATTTCCTGTATGAAATCAACAAGTTATCTGTTTGCCATATTTTCCCCTATTAAATGTTTATGGAAACTTTCATGCATTCATCTTATTGAATAACTTCATGTCTGCACATGTTGCGCAGACTTGGAGCAGATGACCAAATCAATTTTTCATCGTCTTGTTCTAACAATTTATAATAGAGAATGGACAAACTTACTTCTAAGCTACACGGAAATGTTAACAGATTTTGCAATCATATTCTGTTCCGCTTGCAATTTTTTTTTTTTTTTCTGTACAGTCCAACTCTATTTGCCATTCAAAAGAATAAGACTTCCCTATTTGTGCAAACACAAATCTCAGGGACTGTTTTTGTCAAGCTGGAGGTGTGATTCATACTTAAAACTGAAACTTTTTGTTCAGATTTCATTTTGTGACATGCAAAATATACAAGCTTATTGTTCAAAACATGAAAAACTAATATAACAAAATTTCTTATGTTTTAGTATCCACACTATGACTTAAGAAAAATAACAATTATTAATCTATTAATTGTATTAAATTAGTTAAAAAAGAAAGCTATTAGTAGAAGCCCAAGATCACATTCAAAATACTTGTTTGTGATTTTCACAATATTCAAACAACAACTATAATTAAAACAGACATTTCTAAGTGAGCTGTTTGTTTCTTACATTCTTATTAAAACAATTATATTACTTTTACTTAAGTTTTTGCTTTGTCTCACTATTTACCTAAATAAATTTGAAGGAAACTTCACTGCCAAAATTAAACAATTATAATTTGTTTCACACTTTGTTAGCTCTATTTTATTTTTCTAGTTCAGTCTTATCTTAAATTCACTGAGTATTTCAGTTTTCTATTTTAAGTACTGAAACAAAAACACAATTGTATTTTTGACTGCCTTAAAAATTAGATGCGACATCTCAAGAGGTTATCCTTAAAAAAATCACACCATAAACATAAATAAATACATTAAAATGAAATAAGCATAATGAAATTAGTACTTTATACTTGTCAGCTTTTTTTTTTTATTAAAAGTGTTTCAACTTAGAATAAATATCAAATTCAGATATTTAAAATAAATAAACAAAATTCTTGCTTATTATTTTTGGAGCAACATTAGTGCTTTTAATTACTTAAATGAACTGAAATATTAGACAACAGATTGATAAATAAAAAAAAATCACACCATAAACTTCACTCAGTACAAATTTATCACAATTTTTTAATTCTATTGCTAACCCATAAATAACTAAAAATCAATAGCTGAACAAGCTTTAACAATGGGCAGATTTTATCTCTGGTAATTTGAGAGAGCAGTGTATATATGTATATATACATACATATATACTTCAACATATAAATAAAAGTTTTTACCATGTGAATCTATCTTTTGTGTCTCAGTGTTGTGATTTGAACAGGTTTAGACTGTGTTCATAAAACTTGGCGGCAGCGAGTGTTACTAACATGATCGTCTTTACTTGGGATCAGTCAAACCAAACACACACTCACTCAGCATACAGGAAACTATTAAAAACACATTCCCAGACTCTAAACACCAGGCTCCCTACATGGCAGCAACAAACATGGAATACCTCATGTAGAAGGCAGCTGCGAAATGTGACAAATCTGTCCTATGCCAGTTTCCTCCTCCAGCAGGGCCCACGCCCCGAGCCAGCACAGCCTCCTCACCACCGCCGCCGTCCCCGCCCCTCCTCTGGGCCTCCTTCAGTAGGCTGCATGTCTCTGGAGGTCGCCTCTGACGTCAGCAGCTCGACTGGGCAGAGTGCCAGCCCTGTGGGCCCTTGATGGATGTGGTGGGTCTGAGAAACAGTCGGCTGTGTGTGGAGCGCGCGGCACAAACTCAATTCGGCCCGCTCAAACACATCTAATGACCCGTAAAGACCCGACAGACCCCGCTCACTCTCCCCGTCTTCTGCGTGTTGCAAACTCCCACAATTAAAAAAAAAAAAGATGCACCTGAAGTTGAGGTGTTTGAGCTGCAGAAGATCAGGATATTAAAAAGGACCTGCCTCCGCCTTTGGGTCTGCTAAAAGCTACCTGAATGATCCCGTGTGCTGCTGACTGAGAGTCAAAAAGAGCAAACCTCCAACCGGGCAAAATTTTACAGAAATTACAACTGTGCGTCAGTGAAGCCGAGTAAAATCTGCTGATCCAATCAGAATGTTACAGTGATCCCAGAGCTGCAGCCAGCGTCTCTGCATGCGTCGGTCTGTGTGTGGGATGGCTGTACCTGCAGGCCTGCTGCTGGTCTTCCTCTTCAGCCATCTGTCCAACGTCTCAGCACTCACACTCTCCAACACAAATTCGTCCAGCATCTGCGGGTGCAGCGAGAGGTAGGCCTTCACTTTTTCATCTGTCAAGCCTGAAAAAAACAAAACACCAAACACATAAACATCTGCTTTATTGCTTTTTTGAATTGTTACCAGTTTTCTTCTGACCAACAGATTGTCCGGGCATGTTGCATAAAAATTCCGGAAGTTTATGAAAAGTGCAGATAAAAGACACAAAAGTATTTGTAGTTTTTCCGCTTTCTCACAAACACTATTGCCAAACTAACACAAGGTATTGCATAACTAGGAAGTGAAGGGAAAATGATGCAACGTCTGTAGAGAAGAAATTTGCAAAGTGTTTCTGACATTTGTGTTCTAGGCTCTTTATAGAAGTTTTATCTTCTGATAATTATGAGAAGATGAAACTGAATGATTTGCACATTTTTCTTTATAAAATAGTTCCCAGTGAGGAATTGAATGAATTTGTCAGATTTCGGCCTAACTTTTATTCCCCTGAACAGTTTCTTGATTTCAGAAAAAATTATAACAACATCAACATTTTTAAAGCCACAAAATAATGGCTTTTCTATTCTAATATACTAAATATTAGAATCAACATTGTTTCTTAAAGCCAGAGTGTATAGAAGATCAACAAATTTGTTGCACTTGGAAAAAAATGTATAGTTATATTTTGAAACGTTTATATTTCCTTCCAACAGAAAATTTCTTGGATATTTTCGAGTGGATGTTTAACAAGAACCCACCTTCTTGTTAAACATCCACTCGAAAATATCCAAGAAATTATTCATGCAAATGTGGAATACTATATCAAATTAAATAAAAACTAAACTCTTCATCAATACTTACAGTTATTTAGAAAAAAAATATTTAAACTAAATCACAAAATATATCACAAACATAACAAATAAATAAATAAAATACTGGAGCGACAAATTTGACCACATTTTAGTAAGATATCAAATATATTGAATAAATTCCTTCCCTTTCCGTGCCATTTTGTAAAAGATTCTTTCATGTTTAAACTTCAGACGGTTGAACAGATTTGTTGTATTTTTTAATCCATGCTTGTGTGTTAAAATCGAGAGTACTCTTACATAGAAAAAGGCGTCTCCACATTTTAGTTTACTGAGCACTGCTGCTGCGTTCGCTCTCATTTCATGCCTTTGCAGTTTTGATTGTTTCATGTCTACTGCGGGTTGTTTTGAACTGGGCATGCGTCAGTTCACACTCGCCAGGGTGACGCTTGGCCACTGCTCCTCTGCTCTTTATTGCTTTTTTGCAAATGCTGACGTTTCAAAGCAAGACCACACATCACATGTGGGTTGAGCCGTCCTCAGGGGTGGAAGTGTGAATCAGTAGGGAGATGATACAAACAGAGCATACTTTTATAAAAAACAAAATATACCAAAATGTTAACTGAAAATTAAAAAATAATTTTGATTCCTCACAAAAGCTTGATTCTATTGCTAAATATTTAGCTGGAAGGTAAAACTTTTATCTTTTGCAATCTCTAACAAGTTTTTTTTTTTTTTCAGAATTTTTCTATACTTATCTCCATCCATCATCCCAACAACTCTTTCCTCCTTTCAGGATTGTAGCAAACTACGAGTGGAATTTCTTTAACATTGATATTTTTCACTTCTCCATGAATGAACTTCCTTGAACCTCTAATAAATGCTCTCCTTGCCTGGCCTTTTACGGTACTTATTTTGGCCTATCATATAAAATTTAACCCAAATTTTATACTGAAGATTGGTTTGAAACTTTACAAAACATGTAGAAAGTGTCTTTGAACATGTCATCAGAAAACCTTTGCACTGTACACCCCAGTTTTCTTCTAAAACTTCAAATGGGCTCACTTATGTTTCCTGTAAAGCCTCAAAACACAGGCATGACAATAAAGGATGACTTACATGTGCTCAATAACTAATTATGTTCTTGAGAGCTCACTAAGTGCTGCTGTTTACTGACTTTGTTGTCAGAAAAGAGCCATTTGTCAGATCATTGATGAGATGAAGTTGTTTTAATGAAAGGTTTGCCTGTGAGAAGAATTCGCACTCAGAAACCATAACCATTTGATTCATTCGTGCAAATGGACTGCAGAGTCAAGCGAAACCATGGCTCCATCTTTAAGTTTCACCATGTTACTGAGGCAAGAATGAAAACAACCACCTGGTCCATTCATTGTCATTTACTCGGCTGTAACTTGGCCAAAACACTAACGCAGACTGTGAGTTCGTGAGACGTCAGAACTTCACTAGAACCGAAAGTCAATCTGTAACACAAATTTGTGTCAACACAACAATAACCTCAGGGAAGCAACTGTTGCTGCTGCCAACATGAAGGAAGGGTTTATAAGGCCATTTGCAAACGATTTGAAGTACTACAGTTTATAGCGAGAAAGAATGTTTATAAGTGGAAAATACTGAACCCAAATGCCAATTTCCCCAGGGCTGAATGTTTCGGGATGTTCACCTCAAGTCAAACCCAGCTATGTGTGTTTGTTTGTGTGTGCAGGTCATGAATTCCACTTCTGAATTTTCTGCCAGACTTTGGTGGGTTTACTGGTATTTTGGGGAGATATTGTCCAGTTCAATTTTAATATTTTTACAGATATTTTTACAGATATTCTCACATGTTTCTCCAGTACCTTCTGATATGACAGATGATGGATTCTACCTATGACGGTGAGCTGACAAGGTTCTGCTTCAGAAAAGCATCCCTAAAGCATGACACATCCACCTCCATGCTTCACCACTGCTATCTGTTTCAATCTGTTGTCTAAATAATCCAGTTGTAGACTCATCTGTCCAAAGAAAGTTATTCCAGAAATGCCTTTTTCTACATTCTCACACACAACTTTCAGTCTGGCCTGTGTGCTTTTCTTTGAGAGCAAAGGTTTCGTTCTTGCACATTTTTCATGGAATTCAAAACTTGTGCAATCTCTTTCTAACTGTACAAGGATGAACTTTCACATAAATAGACTTTCAAAGACTTTGAATGTCTTGACAGACCATCACAGCAGCAATTGCTAAGTCAACTGATTAATTCCAGGCGAGGTTTATTTTTTGATTCAAGACTAAATACATTTACTATTTGAATTTACAATAAAACCTTACGGAGTGGTCCCAACAAGTTACATTTCAAAACTAAATAACTATTAACTGTATTTTTTTTTTGTTGGGCATAAAATACATGACTTTACTCAGATTAGAACTTAAACACTTTAGTGCCTTTTTATACCATGACAATGTCTCTGTTTTTGTTGTTTAATATTGTTCCTGGTGGTCAGTACGAATGTAAATAGATCAGAAAATTTAAAATATATAAAATTCATCTTCTTTTTTCAACCATTTCTTTTTTTACTGTATTATATCGTTCACTTTGGGACCTTTAATATATTTTCGAGACTACTTACTACTCCTCCCTAAATTAGTCACCATGAGTTCCTCTGTAGAGAGAAGTAAGGCTAATGTAGCACCTTATGTCTCACAGCTGGAACTGGATCATAAAACACAATCATAGCAGAGTTTCTTAAAATTTACAAAACATTGCTGAGAAAATCCCCCCAAAAACATTCTAAGTTAGTTAAGTGAAAATCCAAATTTCAGACCGTTTGAAAAAGTACAGTGGAGCCAAAAGATCTGATGAAATAATCAGAAAAAGAATCAAAGAAAAGAAATTAAAATTGTTGTTTCTAACTAATAATAAATAAAGTGACAAATTTTAGAAAAAAGTAGTGTAAAAATTGTTCAATGAACAAAAAAACAGATGGGAGAGCTAAAAGGGTTTTAATTTAAGGTGTACTCCTATTGTATGTGCTGTTAGATAATATAAATATACTGACCGGTGTGTTCAGACGGCCCTGATTGTTGTTATGACGCTTTCTCACGAAAAGCCTGGTTATCAGCTGTATCAGTGCAGACTCAACCTCTGCTATGATTCACAGCAGAACAAGCAGCTGGATGCCATGTGTCCTGACAGCAAACACACACATGTAAAGTGAAGCTCTGCAGATATAAAGGTACGGGCAAAACTGTGCAAGGGACGCAGACAAAGCAAGTTTTAATTATCGGATCAGACTTTTAAGGAGGAAACTTTGATCGGTGGCAATGACCTCTTCAGTCTAAAGAGATTAGTCACATAAAAAACTAATAAGGGATGCTTTTAGTTCTTTGATCATCCAAGGCCAGACAGTGGAGCAAGTTAACTCCTTTAAGTACCTTGACATAGAAATGGTTAATTGCCTCTCTTTTCCCATCATGTGGGCCACGTTTACAAAAACGCTACACCTGCTGGGGAAAATGTATACATTGCATGTTCATGAAAATGTTCTGGAATTGGTTTACAATTCCAATTAAATTGATTGAATTCATTCTCATACTGAATATCTCCACCTGGTACAATTTCATCACAATGAATAAAAAAAAAATAAAAAAATGAAATCATCTCGCCATCGTTTACCAGTCTAGCAAGATTACTGGTTCGATTCTAAGCCCTCTGAGTTCTACAATATCTTTTTGGTCAGGAAACCAGTCACATTCCCTTCCAGCTTTTGAAAGTTCCTGCGGCCAGGAAACACATTTATAATAAGTCATTTGTTCCTAATGCAATCACCCTATTTAAGATATATTACCCCTTTTAGGACTGTTCCAATTTGGTTGCTTTGTATGATTGCGGGCTTTATTAATACTAACTGTCTCTGTCTATTTTCTCTTATGTTGAATGTATGTGTTTTTAAGGCGAAGCCCACTTAAAGGAGAATTTCTGCCACCTCTGGGAAAAATATCAAAACCTTTTTATTCCTATTGCACAATTTTGCACTGCTCACTTAAAATCCGGAGAAAATTTATTGAACTTTGTGGATGCAACATCACAAAATCCAAAGATGTTCAGGATCTTTCCAAGCAAAAAGGCTTTGATTTATTTTTACAGATATTTTTTGATCTGCAAAAGACAGCTCAAGCTGCACTGATTGTGTGTGAGGGTGTATGTGGCTCTCGAGATCTTGTGGCTGCACTCGAATGAGGCGAATAGAGTAGGGGGTAGGACAGGAATCAGGAGCTGGAGG